ACCCTGTTTTTAGACCTGAGACGAGACAGTTTACAAATAATCGTCGTCATCGTCAACTTCTACTGAAAGAGATTGTAGTGGTTTATCAGTGTTCAACACGGACTTTTACGAATGATACATTTATAAGTATTTATAATTACTTTATTTTGAAAAAAAATTAAAATTAAAAATTTTATAAGGAGTTTTGTGATCACTGCAATCTAAAAATAATGATTGAAATATTTTGTATATTTATTGTTGTTAAAACAAAAATATACTTTTCATCGATTTCAATTTAATCTATATATAACAATATTTATATCCTTATTTCAGCAATAGTTAAATGTAATGAAGCACAAATTTTTTTTTGTGTTAAACTTGAATTTTTTCAGATAATATTAGGGTTCAATTATATTTTGAAATTTAGATAAAATATTTTTGTAGTAATTATTATCTATTATAACGTGTTATTATTGATAACTAAACATATGTGTTTAGTATGTGTTCTATTGATTATGTTGTTTTGTATCTCACAGATTATTCTTATTAAAATACCTATTTCGTATAAATACACAGTGATCCGTTTATCATAGCTCACTCAATATTTATAAAATAAAAATGTTTGGATTTTTTTTTGGTTTTATTAAATACTATTTATCATTCTATTTATAAGTGGTTAAATACTTTTAAGGTACGATCCTTATAAGGGCACAAATTCATTCTTTCAAGTGGAAACATAAATTTAATTAGCTTATGAAGTAGAAAATGAAATTAAATTCAAATAATAAAATATAATTCAAATAATTAATAATATTTTATTAATGGAATAAAATAAGAAAATTACATGTCAAAAAAATGAACATTTTTTTTATACCTAGACGAAGGAGAAGTGCGACTTAGAAATATTTAATTTACAGCTCTGATTATAATAAACGGATCACACTATACATTGCAAAAACTTTTTATCAATATACGTATAATATTACTGTTGTTAAATAAATATTATTTTTTTATTAATTGACCCATTTTTTTTATCCTTTTAACGAAAGCTATGATTTATTTAGCATAAAGTTTAGTGAACTTATTTTAATAATGCAATTGTTGATTTTGCCGGAATTTTTTTTTTAATGCATACAGGTAATCAATTATGTATAAGACACAATTTCTTGGAAAATATTGAATATTTGTTAGGAAAATGTTGTTTAATTATAAAAATTTTACAATAATATGTAATTAAACAAATCCTTTTTCCATTCTTTCGAGGATAAAATATATAAACTTTAATTAGCTTTATATCTAAAATGAATTAATTTTATTGTGATTTGTTTATTATTATAATTTTTAGTATCTGTTATTTTTTTTAATTAGCTTTTATTGGACCGATAGTTTTAATGATACGTCAAATGATCACAAATTGTTTTTGATTAAATACTTTATTCTCAAAAATTGAAAAAAAATTTCTTCGTTCCTTGTAAATCCGGAAAATTCTCCAAAATATAAAGATTTTTAAAATCGGTAAATTTTGATATTTTTAAAACTCTTTTTACTTTAATACTGACATAATATTTTAAAATTTTATGAATAAAAACACCTTTTTTTTATAATTACCTGAGGTATTTCCATTTCATTAGGTAAGGTTTTTTTGGAAATCTAACTTTTTACTTACCCACAAGTAGGCGTTCAAAACTTAAAATCCGCGTATGAAAAGTAGAATTTTTTCAACTCAAGTTAAAAATAAAGTTTTTGATACGATGACTTATCTTCTGTATGTAAATGGCTTCGACGTTTAACAAAAAAATGTTATTTTGTGTAAAAAATCACTGTTTTACATGTTATAATTTTATACATTTATGCTTTTATTCAATTATTAATACCTATACTTTAGGTTAAACAGTATAAATATATAGGAAAAGGAGTGAAGTACCTTTATTATTTAACCCGCCCTGGTATTATTTTTACATTAAGTTATTTAATTTATGAAATCCCTATTTACTATTCTATTTATTTTGTGAATGCAAACTAATAAACATTGTTCACCGTAAATTTGTATGAAATTATAACGAATCAGTTCAAAGAGTTGACGGTTTAATAGGGGAAGAATAATACGATTTTGCCTTAAGCCGAAAAGTTGTAGTAATAGTAAATGTAATTATTAAATTTACCTTCAAATTTTTTCATTAGATTTCAATGGTATGAAAATGTCGATTAAAGTTAATATTTTATTAACATTAAATTATCTCTATTTTTTGTATAGCTTATAGTTCGAATATAAATGCGTAGACATGTGAAAATTACTTTAATACATCAAATTGTGTTCCGGCGCAATAAATAGGCAAATCAGGTGCATTGCTGGGTTGCCCTGTAAAACGAAACTTATTCACGTGCTTAGTGGGAATTAATGTTTCGGGTCAAAAGGACGACTAACTGACCCTCATAGCTTTAATGGTCTAGAATATGAATCGTTTTTAACGACCATTAATTGCATGCTGGGTGACTTACGACCGTCAGGTAAAGTATTAGAAAAATTAAATGCATTTTAATAAACAATTACACACATACAGAGTTTTTAATTAAAATTTATGCTTAATCAAAAAATTATTAAACTTCAAAAATATAATTATTACTTGAAAAAAAAAGAGATATTAGGCATGTGCTTGTTTTTTTATAATTATTAGTAGTGATATGTTTGTCTTAAATCCTTATTGCGGTGATTTTACTTTGAAATATTTCCATTAAAAATATTTTTTATTGTTTCTACGAAATATATTTATAGATACTTTTAATGAATGAAAAATAATCTAATTAAGAAAATGACTGGTTATATCAATTTTTGGTCCAACACTTTGGAAGTATTTAACATTTGTATACCTAGGCAGGAGGAATGCGGTGGAAAAATAGTCATACTGCAGATTCCCTTGCTTTTATTTTAGAGTCGTAATAACTTGAAATAATATATAAAAATATTATTAAAATAACAATAAAACTAAATGATATGTTTAAAACACAAAGTCCCAGATTAAGTTGTTATCATGGACCACAAATTCCTATAGGAATTCGTTATAGAAGAGCTTTGTTTAATTTTTAGAATGTAAAGTAATGAGGAGCTTACAACTCCACTTTCTCCCACTATAATGAATTAATATCGAAGGGTACGGATTCCATTACACTATTATAAATATGTTATTACCATTCTTTGATTTTTATTAATTATAAAACCTGCATCTATCTATTGAGAAAAAAGAATTACTAACTAATATATCAATGTCCCTCCTAAATATGTCGAGCTCTAGGCAACTTCCTTTTAGTCTAACATGAAATATTACCCTGATCATGGATGTTAAACTAAAGTGTATGAATTAAAAATAAAGTCTCTCTTCAGATTTACTAAAAGTATGAAACATTTTTATTATTTATAAGTAATATTTCTTACATTTTCTCGAGTTTAAGAATTGTTAACGGCATGATTCTGTAGTGGGGGAGAGCGGAATAAATTCATGCTCAGGGCAAGATGATCTTCTTAGATTAAAAAGAAAACACAATAATGTTTTGAACGTATTTGAAAGTATTTTATAATGTATTAATTTAATGTACGTTCTCAATTTTTTTTTTTTTTTTATAATCATTTAAATTAACACATGTTTGTTTTATATACACTTATAATTTTTCTGAAAAAATGATATAAGAAAAACATCACGAATAAAAAGCACTCGGCATATTAAGTCTTATTCAAACTAGAGTAATACTAGCAGAATTTTTTTATAAAAACGAATTAAGGAAGTTGGTTTGTTTCGTTATTTGTAATGTAATTCTATATATTTATTTAAACTGATTTTCTTATAACTAGTTGAATTTATTACAATTAATATTTAATACTAATTATAGTATAAAACATATTAAATATTGTAGTGTCCTTGATTTTTCTGGCACAGATTATTGCCCTAACTAACAAATGCTCAAAGGTTAAAAAATCGTTAGGTTTTCTTAAACTTACTAATTTTCTCTGCAAATTTTTCTTTTATAAGAACCTTCTCCTAACAATAAAAAACATAGCAAAATAAAAATTAGGGAATCGGTCCAGTCGTTCACGCATAATGCCATGACCAAGGGAAATAGGGATTCATTTATACATATAATAAGATAAGATTTATAAATAGAAATATAGAAATATAGATAGATTAATTAAAAATTCATTTAATAATTAATATTAATTAGGGTGAAGAGGTGTAACTTTAAATGCACTTTTTTAGTTATATGCAATAGTTATTTTTTTTCAAGCTGACATTTAATGATAGCAACATATATAAGAACCAGAATTAGAATGTATACTACTGAGATAAAAATCATTCAATGTTTCAATATTTTACGGATTCAAAAAATTTTAAATTAATTTTATTTTCGTGCTCTTAGTATAACACCAAGAAGACGAAAATAAAATTTGCATATATGAAGAGAATTCAAGTAAAAGTAGACAAGTCATAAACAGTTACAACTCAGGAGATCGAAAAACATAATAAATCATTTATGAAAATGCATGCTTTTTACCTAACTTTATTTTGTAATTACTTGATAACCAACGATCAGGATATCATTATTAATGTTTCCGTCGCGAAACTTCCTACAAAATTTATACATAAACTAAAAATGTCCAAAATTGCTTGTCTCAGGGCCGCGTCTGGGGTGATACACGACGCGCGTACCCCGGCGGCACTGAAATATGAAGCAATATAAATTATAGAATTAACTATTTTTTTGGCTTATTCAAATAAGAAAAAAAAAACAGCGAAACAAAACAAATAAAGAAAACTTTTTTTAATGAATAAAATAAAAAGGGTATTGAAGGCGGCAAAATATAGTACCCGAGTGGAACAATTCTTCACTGCTACTCTGCTTGTCCACTTTTACACGAACTTAGTTCTATTTTAAAAAATTCAAATTTCTTAAGGTAATTTTTATGATTATTTATTAATATAGATATATTTAAATAAACTATTATTACTATTAATTAAATATATTTTACAAACCTTAAATGAGTAAATAGCTCTTCAAACCCATTATTTTGTCAACCTTACAACGAAGACGTTTTATTTTTTGATAAACTATTGCTCATAATCACACTCCAAAAAAAATTCGAACTTGCACAAAAAGGCATTATTAATACGTGAAAATTATAGTTATACATTTAAAATAAAAATTGTAATCCTAGATTATTATAATCAATTAACAAAAATACTATATCATATAAGATCAAAATGAGAACACAAATAATTTAGCGTAGGGTAAGATATATTTGAAAAAGGAAAGTTTGACAATAAATAATTAAACACTAGTATAAGTAATCTATTGTATATTTTTTAATAAAAAACTTTTTTTATGGAAACTCTGGGTTGGAAATAAAAATAGTTGTTTTTTAAGGAAATATCGCTAATGATTAAGACAAGGAAACACAGTAGGAAAAGCGAGCCGTGTCGAATCCGTTTAACGTACTAAAAACGACTGAATGATCGCGTTAGTTTCCAGTAGTCCGGCGCGTTGAGATACCACCGCCATTCACCTCATTTCACCTCAAATATTTCCAGAAGGTTTTCCCCAAAATACACCTGTAGAATGAACACCGGATGAGGAATTAGATAGGTTTACTGTTGCTGTAAAAAAAATATTTGAAAGTTGCTCAACAGAATATTATACGGCGTCTGGCAGTCTCGCCAGATAGCTGTTGCTTAGCTTATGGTAAATTACAATGGTTTGGATAATATATTCATTTAGATATAAAGCGATTGTTACTTACCTATTGTATTATTAAGTCAAACATTACTTTGGTCTAAGGGAAAATGTTCTAATTAAGAAAATGATGAGTCAATAACGACTTCAGGACAAATACTTCATTAATATCATTTTACCTGAGTGGGAAGAAGAGTGTGGTCAAAAAATGTCTAATGATAGTCATACACATCTCCACATATTTTAAAATATTATTATTATTTAAAATATTCAGACTAAATTTTAAAATCGTTTTAAGTATAAGTCCAATAATTGTAATTAGCCGATAATTTTCATAATTATGTAATTTGCTATTTTATGATAGTTCTAGTTAAATATGTATGATGTCATTAAAAAAAATTATGATAACAACCCTATAAGTTATAGTGTGCTAAAAAGTAATTAAGAGCGGATAAAAAAACAAAATATATGTAACTAAAGAAAAACATCAAATTTTTTCAATATTGCATTTATTTTGCATGTAATTGAGTGGGTATAGTTTAGGAACACTTTATTATTATATAGAATGTACAGTTAATAAGTAAACAGGTTAATTGTTACAAAAAATGAGAACAATAGAAATCCGTTTTCTTATTTACTGAATACCATATATATAAAGTGATCTAAAGTATAAAGTATGTATGTAGTGGAGGTGAATACAGTTGTAAGTATATTCTGTTTGCGTTCCATATCCATTCTATGTATTAAAATGCATATATCTCAATAAAATTTATTCTACAATTATTATTATCGATCCATTTTTGTAAGAAAAGTGTTAAAAAATGCTCATTTAAAATAATAGAAAATTGAAATTCAATATGCAATATATAAAATATTTATGCATTCTTAAGGGAGTACTAATTATTTAAAAAAAATTCAGCGAAATGTTATTGTATCAAAAGTTACAGAAAGTTGTCAGTTAGATCTATTCCATTCTGTACATTAAATATTAATATTTACATAATATCTATGTAAATATTACATACATAATATATATAAATTTTTTTATTTCAATTATTTATAAAATATTAATAAGATTAATGAAATAATAAATAGTCAGTTATTTTTCACAACTAAAATTTAGTTATGAAGTATTGCTAAAAATGTAAAAGGTTGTTCAGTATTTAGGTTAAGACCAAGCCAGATTATAGTTATTAAAATTTAGACTTATAGATTCCTAGTTTTTAATTATTTACTCTTCTCGAGTGATCCTGTGTTGTATGTACGACTAGACTTATAATAGCTGGCTTTGAAAACAGGGTAAGTTCAAGCTTGTCTACCTGCTATGTATGCCACTGTATTAAGGTATTGATGTATGAAATTAGTGTTTTCTAAAATAAAACCGTGAATAGTGTGTACATATTTTAATCTTCATAACCTTTTATTGTTTGAAAAATTTGTTGATATATTGTTATGGCAACAATATATCAACAAATTTTGCATGGCGCTACAAAAATAGTTTTATATAAAAATACAAACATATTTAAATATTTATTTAAGTTAATAACAATGCCAAGAAAATTAACGCTGAATAAAACTTCAGACGAATGTATGTATGTATTCAGTTCAAAAACCAAAATTGGGGTTAAAATGTTGAAGGATTTACGTGCTCAAACTAAATCAAATAAGAAAATAACAGTCTCCAACAAAATTAATCCTACTAAAATTTTTAAAAACGTTTCCCCATTATTGTCAGAAGATTTTAGCCGATTACATGGCAATATATTTGATACAATTATGGGAAATGACGATGATCAATTGTCCGAACTTTCAGATGACATAGATCTTAGTCTATTATGATAATTATTAATAAGCTACAGTCTAAATAAACTTAATATTTAACTCTAACCAAAATTTTTACCATAGTAATAGAATAATTAACAAAGGTAGTATGAGAAAATATATTTATTTATAAGCAATAGCAAGCTCAGCATTTTTCATGGGAGAAAGGTTATACAATGTATAAATCTAATAATAATCTGGTAAAAGATGAATGAAAATTGTAAAAAAATTAGAGGATACTAAGTATCCTCGGAATCCTCGTATGAAACTCTGTGAGTATACTCGATAAATAATATGTTAAGCACTTAACAAAATTACTTTATATCGTTTAAAATAATAAAAAGTAGAAAAAAATGTATAAAAATAATATTTGTAATTTTCATAACATATTATACTTGTATTTAAATGATTTATTCAAATGTATAATATACATTTGAATAAATCATTGTATATACGTTTCGCATAACAATAAATTACATATTCCATGAAATTATATTAAATATAAAATTATTATTTTTTATTTTTGACATTATCAACGTATCAGTGTAATAATTTGAGTACTTATAATTTAATTTTTACTATACAAGTATATGATACCTTTTGTATGTACATATTTGATAATCGAATTCTGTCAAAATAACATTAAGATTATTAAAAGAAGGGTAGAGAGAAACTACTGAAAACTTGCAGTAAAATTATTCGAGTAAATCAGCCAAAAGAAATATCACTATGGACAATACATCAAATAAAAATGATAGCTATGACTATATGCGACTATCACATATTATGACTGTATGTTTTGGATCACCTTATACACGGAAAAAAATAAAGCCAATTGATATTCCTAATGAAAAATCTGATGTTGCAGGTAAATGAATGAAGTCTTAATTAAATTGCATTTAGTTTTGTTTATTTCTTATTTTTTAGGTTATAGATATTCGTTTGACAAACGTTTACTGCCTGTGTGGGTGGTATATATCATCTTGAACTTATACATACTATATGCAAACTACATAGCTGGAATAAGATATGTAGGGAATTCACTGCAAGAATGTTTTAAAGAATCTTATTGCATTTCTGTGATTGAAATAATAAATAGAAATTTGGGCCCTACAACTTATTTAATAAGTGCAGTTTTTTATGGTAGCAAGTACAAAATCTACTCGTTAGCTGGCACAGAACGTATACTGACTTTTTTACACGAAACTGACCATTCAGTTGAAATGAAAAAAAGAAAATTGTCATTAATTACGAAAATATATTCACCTATTATTTTATGTTTATACGTGTGTAATATAATGTTATATTCATTTAGATATCCTTTTTTTCATATATTTCTATATAGCTGGAACGTTATGGGATTAATTGCTGCATTTTCTTTAGCTCAATTTCAATACACTATTTTTGAAAAAGGATATGCTCGTATCAATCATATAATTGAAAAAAAAATAAATTCAAGAGATAATCCTAAATTAATAAATCAGTTGTTAATTCGTTTGATAGATAGATACAAAGAGCTTTGTACATTGGTAGACTATGTGAATCAATCATATGTGCCAGATATGCTTCTTCAATGGCCTTATAATATAATAAGGCTTGTAATGACTGTGTTCCGAATGTTTGAATATTTATCTGTATTGTATGGTTCTCAATCAAAAGTAGCTTTACTTCTTCTTTTACAACACGTTACAGATATAATATTATTTATTCTTCAAAATACTTTTTACTGTGTAGTGGGATCAAGATTAGCAATACAAGTATGTATAAATTCCTAGAGAATTAGTTAAAATGTTAAACCACTTATTTAATAACCAGCTATCGACGTAATTTTTCGTAGTATTTCACTTGATAATACTTATTTTAATTTTATTTATATAAGAATTTTAATAGTTTTTAATCTTCCTATTCATTACTTTTAGGCAGTCGAATATATGTTTGATTTTTACACGAGAAACAATTAAACACTTTCACCGGAATCCTAATTCTATTAGGGTACACTTATTTTGTCTTCTTCCTTAGTAATCAATCCTAAGGTTGGTTTTTTATAGTATTTTTCTATGCTGTCTTCCTCTTTTTTGCTATTTGGCCATTCTTCAGTTTCTTGTAGGTTCTCAATCCGGGATCTTTAATGAATTCATTGATTATTATTTTTGTTGTAGGACGTCTTCTCTTACCATCTATTTGCCCTTCTAATATTCTGTTGTGTAGTTTCTCATTGTGTATTAAAATATGTTTAATTAGTCTTCTAGATTCACTTATTTTATTAAGCATGATATTGTTATTACGCAACCTCATCCAGCTAATACTTAACAACCCCCACCAGTACCACTTTTCAAGTTTGCTAAATTTATTTCTTCTACTTTATTTATCACCCATAAATATGATTTGTATAGAGTCACGGTTCACATAAACACTTTAACTAATCTTTTCCTCATACAGATACTTATCTTGGAGCATAATAATTTCTAACGGTTCAAAAATGTATTTTTCGCCTGTGCTATTATTACTTTATCATCAGACAAGTATAAATTTAATAAAATAGTTAAACCTAAATTATAAAAATTTATTTAAAAAATGTGAAGTTTCCAAAAATTTTAAAAGCTATATGTTAATAATAATGTAATTTTTAGGCGAAAAAAACTTTAGAAAGCCTACAAAGGTTTAATCTTCAGAATGATTTTAATGTTAGTATGAATGTTAAAAAAACGGTAAGATTTGATACATTATTAAAAAAAAAGTAAGGTAGGTATGAGTAATAAAACCTATCTTATATTAATCTTTGTTTAAAGTCAAGCTAAGCCTTACATAAGCTAGATCTTGCTACCAACACCTACCTTATATAAGTTATGTCCTTACAACTTTCAAATTGTAATAATGAAATAATATATATCTGGTGTACTATTGTATGTGTATTTTGTTATTTTAGGTTAGAATATTTTCAATTCATGTAAATGCACGAAATGTTGAAGCGTCAGTTGGAGGATATATTATAATGAATATGAGTTTTATAAGGACAGTAAGTATAATTACAAAAATGAATGGTTAAAAATCAATTAAAAGTTTAATAATTCAAACTATAAATGTATGCACTAGTTATTCTCAGCTGTTGTCACGTACACTCTAGTATTGATTCAATTCAAAAACGAAAAAGGAAACTCGAAGCCGTTACACATATCTTAAAATCAATATAGTTTTCAAATATATATTATCAACGTTATATTTAATATTATTGATCAAAATTAAATAGTTCATAAGTATATTAGTAAATCAGTTTGTAATTGTTTAGTTTTAAACTGTAACAGTAATTATACTATAGAACAAAGCAAAAAACTGACAATTTTAAAACTTGAGTATTTTCTACTAAAATATTGAATATTTTTCAGCTTCTGTATTTGTTATAGTAAATTATAAATTATAATAACTATCGGCATTGATTATTGAATTTTGGTTTATTATTTATAGAATTCTATTTTCTAAAATATAGACACTTCATACCGAATTGAACAGATTTAATTGACAACTTCTATAACTTTTGATACAATCAACATTCGTTATATATTTTTTTAGTAACTTATGCAATAATAGACAATATTAAAATAATATTTTTTGTATATAATTGACTATTAAATTTCTTCTAAAACAACAATAATTAAAAAAAAAATTTTAACTTATTTAAATAATGTTTATTTTTCAATTTTTAAGTGGTTAATTACCTATTATGTCCATTTTTTGTCCCTTATAAGGGTACCAACTTTCTTTACTTAAATGACAACCTACATATTTATCTAGTTCATATAATAGAAAATGATCCAACTAAGAAAATGACGGGTCGATAATAACTTTTGGACCAGTAATTCGGAAATTATTAGTATTTGTATACTTTTTTGTATACATTTTTGAAAGTAGATTGGAGGAAAGGTGTGGGTTATATTATTTTTATTATAACGCATCACTGACGTATTAATCCTCCCAACCAAGTATAAAAATATTCATAACTTTTGAAATACTGGTTCAAAATTTGTTATCAAGGCGTCATTTTCTATGTTGGATCCAGGGTCCGGATTTTTATGCAGAAAATATGCATATAACAGTACTCTACAATATATATATATATATACATAATTTTACAACGCTTAACGCATAATTAAATAAAGGTGTATTTAATATTATTAATAATGCAACTTATATACAGAGTGGAATCCACATAACATTTTATACTTTATTTAAAATAAATTTTTACAATACAGGACTATATTATCAGAATATATGTTTTATTCTTTTACATAATATGGACTAACATTTGATACCATAAGAAAATTGTAAAAAACCAAAATCTACCAAAATTCAAAATGCTGTATAAATGTAACTACTGAATTAAAATAAGAGTTTTTGGTATCAAAATTTTTCTTTAAAATTTATCAATAAAATGGCTATATTCAAATCTTAAAAAAAATTTTAGTAAAAATATTAATTTTTAAAATATTTTTTGTAAATGCAAAAATTAACATAAAACATATTTTAAATATAATCCTATATTGTAAAAATTTATTTTAAAAAAAAGTATAAAATGTTATGTGGATCATAAGTCATATGAGTTGTCAGTTAGATCTGTTCCACTCTGTATATAAATCATACAAAAAGATATATGTGATTTTTAGTTATTTTTACTAAATTTTGAAAAATATATAAAAGAATAAAATGTATATATACAATTTATATAGAATCTACACATTACAAAACACTAAAATTTTTAAGCAAAATTAATCTATAATTATTATTGAACAATATGCGTTTGTATAGAAATTCTGGATCTTAGATCATTTTCTTTTATATGAACTAAATAAATATGTATGCTGCCATTTAAACAAATAAAGTTGGTTAACTTATAAAAGACAAAGGATGGTCATAAAAAGTATTTAGTAACTTAAAAATTGAAAAATATTTATTTGAATTGAAAAATAAATAATGTTAAAAAACCAACATATATTTTTTATTATTTTAGAAGAAATTTAGTGGTAAACAATAAATTAGTCACGCTGTATATAATGTAGACTAACTAAATATATAGTTTTAAGTGCTCCTAAAACTACTTATTAAGAGTGTAAATCTTTTGAAGTAATATATAATTTATCATATATAATTAGTTGAAAACATTTTATTCAAAATAAATACTCTTAGTAAAAATTAAAAACTTTCATAAACACCATAAAATAATTCGAACATGTCACATAACATAATTTGGTAGAAAAAAGACAAAATAATTGTCAATATTAAGACTATAATAACAAATACGACAAATATAATTTACAATAGTTTTACAGGCAGCCTATTTTTACGTATTCATAATGTCTATCTGAGTACGTTAAGGAAAATCGGGTCTGCATTTCAACATATTGGGCCCCTGGCTTGAAAGTCATAATTGGTAGAATCGCACATATTTTTTTTCGATTATGAGTAAAACATAACGATTGCAATTTTTCGCTCCATAAATGAGTCATACATTTGCTACCTTAGACAACTCTTGACCCCACTCCCAAAGCGGGCATGAAGACAATATTGATAAGATATTTTATTTTTTCTAATTAATGATAAATTGTATGTATTTAAAAGACAAAGGTGGTCATTAAACTAAATTAATATTTTTTAAAAATTATTTTCGACAATACTTATGATTTACTTTACCATAACATCAAAAGATAATTAGTAAATTATAAGAACAAAATCAAAAAAATTTCTTCAATAAATATTAAAATGAATTTTATTGAACTTTTTCATTAATGTGGCCATATGTTTCATTATTACTGAAAGAGCTATTTTCAATTGAAAATAATCAATAAAATAAAGTAATTTGGTGGGTTTTCCACGTTTTTCAGCATAAAAACCGATCAGAAAAAAATTTACACCATACCATAATATTCCAGGTAAAATTGTAACACTAAATGACTGGTAAAACGAAAATGTTAATAGGGAATAATTTTGAGGACAAATAGGTTGAAAAACCAAGTGACCCCTTAATTTTTATGAGAATTTTGAGGAAATATCGGTGTGTAAATTACTTTTATTTGTGAAAGTCTTTGGGGGTTACTTAAAAAACAGATAATTTTGTAGATAGAGAAAAATGAGATCCTATTTTACACTTTAATCAGCTTAATACTGTAATATGTAGTCCTTATTTACATTTGTAATAAGTGTGTTTATTAATTAGTAAGTTAATCAATGAAAAAAAAGGCAGGTGGTAAATAAATAAAAATCTGTAAGATAAATAAGACTCAAATTACTTTTATAAAAAATTGACTTTGCTTTTGTAATATTTTACTGAAAACATCGGAAAAATTAATCAGCGATCATTACAAAAGGCCCATTTGGGTGGGTGGCTGGAGATATAACCCCTCATTTGACCAATTTCCCTTCAGATATATTCATTATTATATAATAGACTTTAATTTTAGAANACTTTATGCAGTAATAAAATAATCTTACAATCATTGTTTTCAAATCGTTAAAACATAAATGAAATAAACGTGAATAGGTACATTTAGTTAGGTAACATGTTAGTACTATCTTAATTCATTATAGGTAATATATTNTCATAAATGAAATAAACGTGAATAGGTACATGTTAGTACTATCTTAATTCATTATAGGTAATATATTAAATACTAGATTGGTTGGTAAACGGTTTATTACGGAAAAATACAAATTACCAATTTCAACAGCTATAGGTTAACCCAATAAATTTCAGTTTCAACTTAGTATGTGCTATATCGTTAATTTCTGATCGATGTTTTAAATTTTATCAATAAAATTGTCGTGAAATGATAAACATTATCCTATTTATTTATTTTTGTTTTACATTTATATTCTATTTTTAAAATGATAATAGTCTCGAGCCATATTTGTATGTTTATAACTTCAGGTATATGTTTATATGTGGTATGACTGTAGAGATTAAACAAACTGATAATAGTTATTCAAAATTTGTGTTTTATGACAAACGTACCTATATTCGATACCCACGTATTACTTTTTATTTTATTCTTTAGTCTATACTCTTTAACTATTTTATAAATACGTATATGCACTAATAAAAAAACTAACAGTGGATATACGCCGTATACCCGCGTATCACTCATGATTTTATAAGTATACACAATAACAGAAAAACAAAGAAGTGGGTATACGCCGTATACCCGCGTATACGCTCCACGACACCTCTGACCCCTCATTTGACCAATTTCCCTTCAGATATATTCATTATTATATAATAGACTTTAATTTTAGAAGATAAATAAATTTAATGTTTTTTCGACAACTTTATTAGTAACTATTTTTATTCAAAGGTTATATTTAGTAGTATAGTTTTTTTTATTGACAAAAACATGTTTAATATTTGTACTATGTGTATTATAAATAAACTTGTAATATTTACATGACGTGCAAAGGTATATTAGGGAGAAAAAATCAGTAATACCCGGTGAGAATTGATTTAACTAGTCATTTTTTTATATTTTTAATGCTGCTGATAAATAATTTCTAGTCATAATACTGATATAGGTAATAAACTAGATTGCTAACTCGTGATAGCAGCTTAAGTCATTTTCTTTTAAGTTTAACATTGTCAATCATTATACTTAGTTCAGAAATTTTTTGTTATCAACAACTTTTTTGATTTGGACAAATGATTTGTATACAAAGTATAAAGTGTTAATGTTTGGCTTGAAAGAACATGTTATATCATAAACATAGAAATTAATAGACTAGGAACAATAAACATTTTACATGTATTACGTTTAGGCCAAAATGTGTTGGAAATAAGGGGATTTTTCATTGAAACATGTTTATTCGACATTAATTTTATGTAATACTTTGAAATTTATACATAAAAAAATTAAAAAATAGAATGATAATAAATAAAATAGTATAATAACACATAAAATGTTGTTGATTAATCGTCTTTTATGTAAAATATCATCATATTAATGAATTATCACTCGTTCCTAGTCTATTCTTTTATATATGTAAATGTTTACTTGCTACCACTACAGTAAAAATGATACATATACTACAGCAAATGGTTACCAATTAATGTGTACATTAATAAGTGTGCGGAGCCTAGTTTTATACATTCCCATTGAATTGATAGTGTTATCAAAGCACGTTATTCATTATTTTTGCCGCTATTGTGCTTACAAATGGTCCGTTAATGAGAGACATTATATAAAAATTGTATATATATAAAAAGTAAACAGCTCAACAATTTTACTTTAAGATTGCTCCGATATTTGCTTTAATTATGGAGGAGTATGATCAATCATCAATGTTTACCGATTTCGATACCAGTAAGTTATTTATATTTACTTAAATATTACTATAAATACATAAAATTTACCATGTTTTTTTTAAATGTTTTAATTAATTTAAATTTTGTGAGTTTTTCTTCACGAGTTGAAAAAATATATATTCTTAGGTCTCTTAAATCATAAATTGTTTTGGCATTTTATAGGTAATAATGAATCTGTTATGGATTATACAACAGATGATATAACCAAATTAAAAATAAGAAAATCACAGTTTAATTTGTCTGTTTCATTGACACCAGGAGAGCTCACTGCTATTTTTGATAATACTATTGCTCAACAAAAATCAAGTTGTATGTAACTTTTTTTGACAAAGATTTATCAATTTTTGTATGTTCATTTTTTATTTTAGCTGAAAATTGTTTGTACAATCAATTTTTGGACGTACTAAAAGCTTTTCGAATAACTTCACCACTTCAGCTTCTGGAAATTCTCCAGTATTTTATTGATATTTGTAGAGAGACTTTAGATGTCTTAAAAGATCAAAATCAAGTATGTTTGATTTCTTTATTTTTTTGTAAATGTTAAATAATTTTAATTAAATTTAGAATTCCAATTGGCTTGAACAAGAGCTTAATACATGGCGTTTATTATTAACACTTTTTCAAGTACAACATTTAGAATCCGAAAAAGTTGATAAGATAATTAGTGATCGAGAATTGTCAGATGCTTTATTTAAAGAAGATCAAAAGTTAAAAGGGGTAAATTAAATTATTTAAAAATATTTTTAACATTTCTCTAATTACATTATTACTTATCAATTTTAAAAAATTTATGTATATACTTCAATTATAAATTGTAATTTAAAGATTAAAAATGTAATATCAGAAGTTTTATTATNGTAATTTAAAGATTAAAAATGTAATATCAGAAGTTTTATTATTTTTATATTACTTTTATGTAGGGGTTTTAAACAGAGAAAATTTTTAATTTTTGTTTTAAAAAAAAATTTAAATAGAACATACTTAAATAGTACATTTGATTCTTAGTCTTGGGACAAAATTATTAAACTATTTCATAAAAAAAAATGTTGAAGAATTAATACTACTAAGATCTAGTTTGGCAAATTAAGGTTTAAAAACGCCAAGAACCAAGCTGTTATATAGTGAATTATAATTTTTATAAAATTTGCATAGTAATTATGATCAGATCTTGTGATTACTATTCCGATGAAAAATTATTATGTACCTTTATGAAAAAATGCAATGGAACTTTAAATTCTGGTACAACAAATAAAAATTTATCAAATTTTTTATAGAAGCATCTTTTTTTGTAGAAGTCAATAAAGAGCAATATTCAGAGCATATTGATTGGTAAAAAAAATTTTGCTCTGTTTAAGACCTTTATCAATTATATTTTTTATTAAATTCATATTGTCAAGCAAAGATTTAAATAGAATTTTTTTTAAGAGGTATATTAAATTTTAATTATAAAATAATACATTTTTTAGACATCAAGATTAATTATTTGTCAACTTTATCTATAATAAGATATTTTTTGAAGTAATCAATAATAATTCAAAAATGTGAGTGCATATCCTGTACTCACCCCATATTTGTCATTGTTAAAATTCTTAAACCACCTGGTCTACTATGATTTTTTAATTATATTTAAATATCTTTAATATATATTATAAGTAAAAGAAGAAATAATAATTTTGAGTTTTAATATAATTGAAGTATTAAATTTTAATTTTTATATAAGTTTTACATTATATAGTGTAGACTTTTAGTATAGTATACTAAGATATATTATAATTTGGTATGTATGTAGAATACTCTCTTCTTCTTTTTCCTCACCTTTATCTCAGCTTTCTTGGGATTGGTCACCCTTATCCTAAACTTCCACTTGACACGATATTCTATATCATCTATGTACACAACAGCCGTCCTTATATCGCATTCAATAACGTCCCTCTATCTCTTTTCATTCCACTTATCTATCTAAGTATTCTCATCTCTGTTACACTTATTCTTTGCTCTATTCTCTTGTCAACTCCATAACACTCTGAACCATACATCATAGCTAATCTCACTACAGTCTTGTAGAATTTACCTTTCATCCTTATTGAAATTCTTTTATCGCATAATACGCCAGATGCTTCTGTCCACTTCAACCACCCGCACTTAAACCAGTGTCTTACATCCTTGTCAATACCACCGCACTTTTGCACAACTGACTCTAAAAACTTTCGACCTCTCCAATCACGTTCTCCCCTATTGTTACTGATCTCCTCATTTCACCTACCTCATGTTCTTCTTTGTCAAACTTGTACTCTATATACTCTGTCCTACTTCTATTTATTCTTAAACCCTTTTCTTCAATAGCTGATCTCCACACCTCTAGTCTTTGATTAATTTCCTCCTTATTTTCTCCTACTAACACTATATCGTCAACAAACAACATGCACCACGGCACCTTTCCTTGTATTTCTCTAGTAATTTCATCCATCACTATAGATAATAAGTAAGGGTTTAAAGCTATCGATGTCTCATTTCTTATCTTCTTATCTATTACCTTTTCCCAAATCTTCATACTATGACTCATAAGCTTTGTGCCTCTATAATTTCCACATTCTTGTATATCTCTTTTGTCTTAAAATATTGGCACCACAATACTATTCCTCAATTTTTTTTTGGCATTTTACCATCTAATAGGATTTTATTAAAAAGATCCTTCAACCACCTCATGCCAACACCCCTTAGTATTTTCCATACTTCTACTGGCACTTCATATAGTCCTACTGCTTTATAGTTTTTCATGATACCACAGGATTTTTGATTCTCCTGTGTTCTTTATGTTTTTGTATACTCTCTTGCCTGGTATAACTTTACAATCTTTCACTCGCTTTACGCTCTCTCTCTTCCATATAAAATAATCAATATGTGATCTATTACTCCCACTCTTATAAGTTATATAATGTTCTTTCCTCTTTCTAAAATAAGTATAAACCACAGAAAGATCATACAATACTGCAAAATCCAGGCTTCTTTCTCCATCTTCATTCTTCCCACTAAAACCATACCCTCCATGTTCTCTATCATATCTTCTTCTCTTATTACTGACATACCTATTCATATCTCCACCTATTACCGCAGCCTCATTACCTGATATTCCTTGCATCACCTCATCTATCTCTCGAAAACACTTTTTTCTATATCATCACATCCTACTTGTGGTGAAGAGGTACTTACTATATTCAATCATTTTTCAATCAAATTAATTTTATAACTATAATTCTGTCACTTTTTGTAACTACTTCTACTACTTTATTCTTCATCTCCTTATCCATTATTGATATTTGGTAATAAATAGAGGATTCTTAACTATTTTAATTTTTTTTACTAATACACTGATTAAATTATACATAAATTTTGTAGATACAAAGAATTGTTGATTGGTTAGAACACTGTGCTGCTGAAAGTATGGAAAATGAGTTTATGAAAGACGCAAAACATTTCTCTGACGAAGGAGTTGCCTGGCCAAACACATTAGGTCAACTTTTGGTATGTTTAAATATGTACAAATTAAGTTGTGTTCTCAGTTATGTAAAATATTATATATTTTAAATTATATAATATTAATTTTTTTAAGTTAGATTTTTAATGAAACAAAGGATATATTATATAAAATATACATATTATCTATCACTTGAAAGTTACTATAAATAATTTATTACTAACATTTTTTTTTAGAAAAAACAGCTAATATATCAAAGTTCTGGTGCAATGGTTACTCAACTTGATCCTGATGCACCCCAGAGACAAAATAGATCAATTCATGATTTAGATCAAGTAATTTTAATTTTAAAAATTGTATTTTTACCTTTAAAATTTATATTAATCAAAATTATTATTTGGTTTAATAATTGTTTTTTTTAATATGAAAAATTTATTTTCATTATTAAGGTAGATGAGGACCGATTGTTAGCACAAGTATTTAGTGAAATTCGTTGTGGGCGTTTAGAAAAAGCTGAATTACTTTGCTGTCAATATGGTCAATTTTGGAGGTCAGCAATCATGGAAGGTTGGCGTTTATATCATGATCCATTTTATAAAAATAAAGAAGATCATATTTTATCTGATGAAGTTCTTGGAAATCCTAATAGGTATTTAATTTATAAACTAAATACAGCACAATTTAACTTTAAATTAAGATTTTAAATTGGAACATTTTATATTTATTGAAAATTATTTTGAGTTAATGAAGTTAAGTTTTGGTTGTGAAAAATCACTATACTTTTTGTGATTTTATAGTTCTAATCACAATTATTTCTTAGAGATATTTGGAAATCATGTGCTTGGAAAATTTCATCGGATCCAAAAAATTCAGCTTATTGGAGAGCTACAATTGGTATACTGTGTGGTAATATTGATGCAGTACTACCTGTATGTGATAAATGGGAAGATATACTTTGGGCACATCTTCATACTATAGTTAATGTAGCTGTAGAGGATCGTATACAAACTAACAGAACTAACAGTATTATTAATCTTCCTGAGCAGTATTGGGAGTATAAGTATGATTCATGTAGAGAATTAAGTATTTAGTTTAAAATCCTTTTTGCATAGGATGAATTTAGATGATATTGTTGCTGAATTGAAGTCCAATGCCAAATTATCAGTTCGCCAAGAAGCTCATAAACCTAAGCGCCAAATTCAACAATATTTTATAACAAATCAATTTAGTGAACTAATTACCACCATGGAAAATTGGGTAGAAAATAGTTTTGAATCTGATTCTCAATTTTTACGGTTACTTGCACATTTAGTTTTAATCATACGATGGGCTGGAATACACCATAATGAAAAGTCAGCCAATTCAATATTACAAAAATACATAGAAGTAATAAATTAATAATGTAACTAATATTAATATTTCATTTTGAGTTTAATAATCAATTTCAAAAATGCAGATTTTAATTCCAATGAATGATTCTATTTTGGTTGCATATTATACATCTCAACTTGAACGTCATTGTCAAATAGACACATATTCAAAGTTTTTAGAGAAAATGAACAGTCCTGAACAACGTAAACAAGGTTTATTAGCAGGGGAAAAATTTTTACTTCCTGTTGAAGAAATAACAAAACAAATCGTAGAAACTGTCAGGTACTTTTATTAGCATTACAAAAATTGTTTATACCAATGTAGATAGTATATTATACAATTTTAATTTTAAGTTAGTTATTATGGAGGTTGACATAATGCCCATTCACTCAGACCTGTTGGTCCATTGTGCGCATTAGTTTTAAGTAACATAATAGTTATATATAAATAGAAATGTAGAGTATTATTATAAATAATAAATAAAAAAATTTACACTTTCGTTTTTTTTATAACATAACAGTTTTTTATAATTTTTGAGTAGCATGATCTATTGTTTGTTTATTATAATCGTTAATTTGTTTTTCGTTATTTTTATACTTATGTTTATTTGCTATTAAATTTAAGTAATCTGGTAATGGTTTAAGGCCAAAACTATAGTAATTACATTTTTTATTTTCTAATACTTTGGCTTTAATTTTTATAAAATTTCTATTTATATATTAATAGTTGTGTATAATAATGTATGAATATTTATGAAAATTATTAAGTAAATAATTAATTAAGTTCAATAATAATTCATTTACCACATTTCGATATTATTATAGACATCGTCTGACAAAAAAGACGTCTGGTGTTGATGTCTTTACTGAAATAACTAGTGATGACCACCAACTAATCTCTGCACTAGATTGGATAATATATTATCCTCGGCAAGTCGAGGAAGCATTTGTACAAATTAACATAGTAGTTCGTAACTTTGTTGCTCAAGGAAAAATTCAAGCTGCTCGTTTGGCATTTAATAAAGTGAGTTTATTTTCTAAAATATACTATCTATAATCTATAAAACTTTGAAAACCTAAACTATAAGACAATTAAACTTATGGAATGATATTTTAGAATAAGTTATATAGTTACAAGAAAAATGAAACAATTGTCTAGATATGCACATTATTTTGAAATTTAATGACTTGGATAAATTTTTTTTTTTTTCAAACAATTTAAGCATTTATTTAATTTAAAAAAGTCGGACAGTGTGGCCAAGTTGGTAACGTGATAGTGCTTGAAACGGACTATCTCGGGTTCAAAACAATCAGTTGGGTAATTAGAATCTCTTTCTACAGCAAAAGACTAACCCATCTTGTAGTATTAGTAATTAAAAAACTTCCCCTTTGAACATTTAATAGATTTAAAAAATAATAGAAAAAAAAATTTAATTTAAAAAATAAAAACTGCTGTTAACACAAATTATCAAATTTTTATTAAATTTTATTTTTAGATTTAGTTATATATAAACTACAGAAATTTGAATACTTAGAATGATATGGGGTTCCTACTTTGAAATGTATTTGTTAAAAATCCCTTTTATAAAAGCTGATTTCCTATTTGAAGAATTTAAATACTTTTCTCGTTATGCATTGTTTTAAAAATGTTTTAACAGAAAAAATGTCATAAACAGACAAATAATTAAAAACAACCCAGTACATTCAGAATCTAGCAACAAAGTGGACACCAAAATAGATTGAAATGTTTTTGATTAAAATAATCATCATAAAAAGTTTTGATGTAATTATGCACAAAAAAAGTAAAATATAATTTTATTGTGTAGGGGTTGTTAGGCCCTACTTAATTAACCTATAATATAGATACTAATTTGTAAATAATTCATATAACTTTTAAATTTTGAAATTTTTACACAAAAGTCATACTTTTTTCTTTAACACTGACATCCATTTACACATAGAAGGCAACTCTAGGTTTAAACATTTTTTTCAATGTAAGGTATTTTATATAAGATTTAATTTAGAATATCTTTAAAGGATGCAGGTTTTCCAGAATATTTGTAAAAGATAAGTCAAAAAAACCCAGCACAGGGGGGTCGCGGCACAGTGGTGACGTGGCATAGTTGGATCAAGTATAATGATATCTGACAGTGATTAAAATCACTATCAAAAATAAACGCTTCGATGCAAATCTTTAGATAGTGTTTAATTTTAAAAAAATTGGTGTTTTATTCCAAAAGCTACTTGATCTGCTGGTTCCTTATTAATATCTCGATTAAGATAAAGTATGTCGAATGAAAAAGGGTTTATTAAAAAATATTATTTGTCATAAAAAAATTGTGTGGATCCATAAACTTTTCAATAAGTTATAGCATTATAAGTTAAATATAATATAAATAATAAAATCGAGAATTTTCACACGAAAAGAGCATTCGGTAGCCATTTTTGGCATGAAGACAAGTCCAGAGGTCAAATTTTTTTTTTTCAAATTAAAGTATATTACATTAGCTTTAATTTAAGATATATATAAAAGTGTCAGACCTTCCGGAACATTTTCAAAAGTTATGTTGAAAAAGTAAATTTGTTGTGAAAAAGTTGTCATTTTAAATCCCCCCTGTGGGCAGGTTAAGTGTCAGATTTAAAAAAAAATGTATACCAAATGATAAGTAAAGACATCAAGCATCTATATAAAAAAAAATTATATTGATATGTTCATTTTTGAAAAAGTTACGGCAGTTTTTAGTAAAAAAAATTGAAAAAATTTCGAAAATTAGCGATTTTTAAATTTGTAATTTTTTTGGAGGTTTCCCCCATTTACGGGGAACGAGGGAATTTTTTTCAATTTTTAAGGGTAATGTCTTCGACTAGATACGATTTGTGATCTTTTGACGTATCGTTGAAAGAAATCCGTTCGGTGAGAGCTGAGAAAAAGTGGTAACAGACACAAAAAAAAAAAAAAAAAAAAAAAAAAACACATCATAGTAAAACCAATACCTTCTCAGCTTCGCATCGAAGCTAAAATTAATTAGTCATGCAAAAGTTACTACTTTTAATCTTATACTGTTGTTAGATAAGAGATCTGATTTAAAAAAATCATACTACTGATACGAGTATATCTAAGGTATTCCTAAATAATTATTGTTCTATTTTTTTAAAATAAAATGTATAAATTGAGAAAATTAATTTTAAAATAAAAAGTTAAATTTTGGTAAAATCAAAATTATAACCGTAGAAATAAATGAAAACTAGAACTTAATAATTGTATGTAAAATATAGTCTGTAAACTTGTTCTTTTTATGTTGTAATTCTAAAACACTCACTAATGATTGTTTAAATTAATTGTAACTTGGCATTTATATTCTTTTTCAAATAGATTCAAAAGGAAGCAATTAAGTTATTAATTAATACATTGGATATTGATATTAATAAACTGATGAAATTGGATATACCAATATCAGGAAAAACAAAGTCTCTTCTTATGGAATATCTATCTTATAAATGTTACTTGGTATATAAGAAAACTATTATTTTTATAGTTTATCTTACTAAATTTCACTTATTTGCTTTTATTGTAAATGTAGGATGCAGAAGAAGGTTTTGCTGATTGGTTCCATGAGTATCATCAAACTAAACCTACCGAACCACCAAAACTTTCTGATAATGCTGATTATACCAAAAAGTTAGTCTATGACCACAATATGGAAGTTTACAAGTCATCATTAGAAAGTTGGAAAATATCCATCGCTAGTTCATCACAAGTAAATATTTTGATATACTTAATTTTTCTTATTAAACAGAATAGGGTTTTCTAAGTTTATTTGAATACAATAACAATGATATAAGTTGATCAACATTACTTTAATTTTGATCATAATTAAAAATCTTAACTGAGACAATTAAAGTTATTCTATATTATAAAATAGTCTGAACCACTAGTAAATAGGAATTCATATTAATTATTTTAATAATTATATTTTTAGGTCGTTATTGAACAATTATTTAATTTATTATTTTTTCCTGGTGGATGGTTAGTTGATCATGAAAATGATGATGAAAAACGTCATGAACATTTTGAACTGCTGAGAACAATATGTATCCCTAAGGTTAGTAATAGTTTATGGAATTTTTTTTAAATTAAAGATTTGTGAAATAATTTAAGTTTCTTAATAGAATTTAATGCTATTTATAAACCTTTATCATTAATTACGTCGATTAACAAATTCTACTGTTTTAATATTTACACTTATATTTAGCTATTAAAATAATTGTTTCAATATTAAAATTTAAGGGACTAGAATGCTGAATTTATTGGGCATAAAAAAAACATCATTATTTTAATATATTCTAAAAAATTAAAAATATAATATATGTTAATCATTTCAAGGTTTGGAATACACATTTTTTTTTATAAATAAATTAATGAGTGCATTCAATTTTTACAGTATGGATTATGTATGTAAAATAATTAATTTTTTACATAAAAATGTAAATTCAAAAATGCATTTGTGGACTTATTACAAAATAATTTGAGTTTTAATTTTGATAAATATTCAATGTATTATTTTCACATCCAACAATATACAGTTCGACCCACTCCATTATTTACAAAAATATTAAATTGATTATGTAATCAAGCTTATTAATAGCATCAATTTTATTTATTTTTTAATGGCAACATATATAATCTTATTATTCCTACCTTTCTTATTGGAAAGAGTTGAATTAACAAACTTACTATTTTTGATATACTTTTCTAATGTTTAATGTGTTGTAAATATTATTTTAGATTTTTATGCTTTTGCACACCATTCTACACAGTGCTGAAAAGTATATGGATTGCATTAAATTAGCCAGCTACATTACTGATGAAACCAATAATTTTTACAGGGTATTTATTTTATAACAATAACATCAAATGTTCCTCAATCCTTATATTTTTATACTAGTTAATGTTACTACAAGTTCACTAAATTTTATTTTACTAAATTTGTAATGTCATAAATTTATTTTATTAAATATAGTTTTTAATTTTTAGTTGTTCACTCAAGCTGATCTCAAAAAACTTTTTGCAAAAATATCAGAATCGTCAATTTGTTTAATGGAATCATCAAATGAATATTTAGACCCTTTGATAGTTTTAACTGATTAAAGCTTTTATTTTATTATTATAAGTTAAAATTATTTTTTTATGTGTTTAAAAATGAAGAAAAACTAACAATAAAATGTGTCATGTACATAATTTTATTTAAAAATTTATAAAACTTTATATTATTTCTAATAATTTCAGAATTCTCCATATCCTTTTATTTCATTGATATTGCTTCCAAAAAATAATAGATCACTATATTTAGCAACAAAAATTGCTTTGTCATTAATAGATTTTGGGGTTTGTTGAAGTGTTAGTTTTTTTTTCAGAAGTTTACTTTTCTGAGATTCAAAATCATTAATAAAATTTTTATCCTCAGGATTTAAATTTTTGAGTTCACCTTCTTTGTATAATTTTTCTTTAGTAGATGATTTAACTTCCTCAACAGGAGTAAAAGTATCTGTCGACCCAGGTTCTTCTTTAACTTTTTCAATAAAATGCTCAACTTTCTTATAAAATTCTGGAGGTGTATCCTTACAAAATTTTTTACCAGCAGAGCTATTTTCAATAATTGAATCAACTAATGTTTGATATTTTTTAGTAAAATTAAGTTTAGTTAACTTTTTTGTCTTCTCTTTACTAGAATGATTTTCAGAGTTATTACATATAACAGATTCGTCGTTTTGAACAGATTGTGTGTCATCATCACCATTAACTTCTAAATCATTAGTGGCAGAAGATTCTACATTACCTTTTGTTTCTATATGAATTTCATTATTAAATTTAGATTTAGACTTTTTTTTTTTAAACCTTAATTCTGACCCTTTGTCTAAATTATCTACTCTAATATTATTATTTTTATGGCTATTGTTTTGATTTTCATCTGAACTAATAATATCTTGAAATTCTACATTATTTTTATAATCAAGTTTATTTATTGGAAGTTCTATTTTTGAAGTTTTATTCTCGTTTTTTTTTTTATTAGATTTGAATTTTTTACAGACTTCTAAGTTTGCTTCATCTAATACTTGTGTTGTGTCATCAGATGTAATACTTTGTTCAAATTTTCGTTTTTTATTGAATGAAGGAGTTTCTTGATTATCTAAACATAATTCATTACTGGATTCACATATAATTTTATGTTTTTGTTTTTTTTTCTTTCGTCCATTGTTATCATCACATTCACTATCTTTTCCATCCGTTATTTCAACAACTATGTTTTCACTTTTCTCATTATTTCCATTAAAAACTTTAGACTGTCTTTTAATTTTAAAGTATTCTTTCATGTTTAAAGAATTGGACACCTGTTCTTCTTTTTTGCCTTTACCTAATATACAAGCTAACTCTTCATTTTTATATTTTGTTAAGTCCTTCCCCTTAGTAAACTTATGGTAACTAAAACACAAAAGAAAACACAAATTTTTTTTTTTTATCAAATTTTAATTTAGTATAGAATATGAAATTAGATAATGCAATCTGCTACAAAACAATACATATATTTAAAGTGACAAATTTAGAATTAAGGGTAGAAATTTAGCAAAATTATATGTTATACAAATATTGTTTAAAGAAAAAAATTAAATATAGGCCCTGCAAAAAAAAAAAAAAAATGACCACCCTATGTCTATGGAATAATAAAATATTTGGAATAATGATGTGCGATTAATTTATCTTCACAGTAGTATAGTCATATTTTAAAATTATTTTGCAAATATTTTGATAATTACATAAATATAATTAGACTTCTAAAAGTAAAATATACAAAATATTCAATGTTGGGTGAATGATTTTTTTTTTTAAGGCAATTAAAAGTATTTTAGCTTGGATGCGAAGCTGAGAAGGTATTAATTTTACTATGATGTGTTTTTTTTTTTTATTATGACTGTTGCCACTTTTTCTCAGCTCTCACTGGGCCGATTTCTTTCAAAAGTACATCAAAAGATCACAAATCGTATCTAGTTGGAGACATTANGATACGTCAAAAGATCACAAATCGTATCTAGTTGGAGACATTACCCTTAAAAATTGAAAAAAATTCCCTCGTTCCCCGAAAATGGGGTAAATATGCAAAAAANATTTTCCCTCGTTCCCCGCAAATGGGGGAAATATCCAAAAAAATTACAAATTTAAAAATCGACAAATTTTGTCATTTTTTTCACTTTTTTTTCTTAAAACTTCCATAACTTTTTCAAAAATCAACAAATCAACATAATTTTTTTTTATACTAAAACTTTAGATGTTTACCTTTCATTTGATATCATTTTTTTGAAAATCTATCACTTAACCTGCTCATAGGGGGGATTTAAAATAGAAACTGTTTTACAAAAATTAACTTTTTCAACTTAATTTTTGAAAATGTTCCAGAAATACTGCGTCCTTCAAATATATATCAAATTAAAGCTTATTTTATGTACTATAAAATGAAAAAAAAAAATTTGTCCCGACACCTTATCTTCTATGTGCAAATGGCAGTCGAAATTATAAAAAAAATGTAATATTTGCGATAAAAATCACCTTTTATAACGATGTTTTTTGTACTTAAAACTGCCATAACTTTTTCAAATATTAACTAATCAAAATAATATTTCTTTATATTGAAACCTTAGGTAATTTTCTTTCATTTGATATCATTTTTTTTTGAAAATCTAACACTTATTCTGCTCACAGGGGGGATTTAAAATAGCAACTTTTTTACAAAAACTAACTTTTTCAACTTAATTTTTGAAAATGTTCCGGAAATACTGCGTCCTTCAAACATATATCAAATTAAAGCTTATTTTATGTACTATAAAATAATAAAAAATTTGTCCCGACGACCTATCTTCTATGCGCAAATGGTAACCGTATTCAAAAATATGCTATTTTAACAAATTTTTTTTTTTAAAATTAAACACTATCTACAGATTTGCATCGAAGCGTTTTTTATGATAGTGATTTTAATCACTGTCAGATATCATCTATACTGGACCCAACTATGCCACGACACCACTGTGCCGCCACCCTACTGTGCTGGGTTTTTTTTTTATTAACTTTGATGTCTTTTTTCATCATGAAGATAAAATAAAGTCCGAAATTTTATTTTTATTTACCTACCTGTGTTAAGGATACAAATTGTTTGTCTACATTTAGTAAATCAATAGAGTGTGCACTATCAGACTTCATATATTCTGTGAATTAAGCATAACTTACTGAACTCTTGATCTAGAATTTAAAGAATTTTCAACAAGAGATTTTTTACTATTGAGATCAGATTCTGTTACAGGTTGACTATCATAATTTTTGGCTAGCTGTGAAAGTAAATGTGCATAATCTTCCCCAGCTTTAAACCAATCATCAGCATCGTGTGCAACAAATCCAAGACCTAAAATAAAAAAAGCAAATATTTTAGTAGGTTCATTCAACATAGTATATAGGATAAGTCACAAAGTTATGAAAAATCCAATAAATTTTAATCCAATTAACATTTATCAATTTGTTAAATTTTTTTTAATTTATTACCTTCTTAGACTACATTTAAAGGGTATTTTGAATTATTTATCAATAATGAGAAAATAATTTTTTTTATTCTTTATTTTATTTAAAAATTTTAAATGACCATTTTTAGCATTATTTTTACAAAACAATTTGATGGGTTGATAATAATTTTAGAACAAGTATTCATTAAATTACAAGCATATTAATAAATTTAATGAGTATGGAATGAGGGCGGAGTATATATATATATATCAATACAGGCTACATACCGTATTATATTAACATGCTTGTAACTCAATGAATACATTTCTCCAAATTGTTATCAACCCATCAAAATGGGTATTTTGAATAGTCAGAAGTTACACAAAAAGTCATTATCAGGTGAACAAGCAAGTTACGGAACAATATTTGTTGAATTTTTAGCAAATTGCTTGCTAACAACACTTAAATAAGATTACTTGTTAACATTTTGGCTTGGCGGAAGGAATTCAGAATGTATCAAACCACAATAATTGAAAAAAAACTGTTAATATAACCTTGATTTAAGAGCGACTTTGACATGATTTTTTTTGGTTTCAGTACAAAATTTGCTCAATTGATCGGTTGTTTCGGGGCTGTAAGTGTAGATGCAAGTCTTGTCTTCAGTTATTTTGCATTTCATTATATCCTAATAGTCAGAAAGCATTGTTTCACAGATCCTAACAAGAAGGCCTTTTTCAAAAAAATTGAATGATTTTGGAATCATTTTAAATTTGACTCTTCTCAAGCCTAATTCTTCATTGAAAACCACCTGTACGGATCCAAATGATATACTCAAATTATCAGTAATATCTCTAATAGTCAATCGAAAATTTCAAAGTACCATTTTTTTGACTTGCTTGATGGGATGTTCATCAGTATGTTTTTAGCCAATTTGATACCACATTCTTTGAAGACGGAGTCTGATCCCCAAAGGGTTTCCGCAGCCAAAATTCCATTCCTCAAACAAAATTTAATGCAATTTCTTTGTTCAATAAAGACAGTAAAAATTGCAGAATTTACTTTAAGCACTTTATGAAGCATACCTCAAACACTAACGAATACATTTTGATGTGAAATTTGACACAGATTTCACTAACAATACTACCAACTTACAGAAAAAAAAATACTAATTGGAAAAACGCTATTTAAAAGTAAATAATCACAAATATACTTTAAATGTAGTTTAAAAAGGCAATAATTTATCAAAAAAAAATTTAATAAAATAATAATTGGATTAAAAGTTATTGGATTTGTCATATCTTCATGACACATCCTCTATACATGTGATCTAGTATTTCAAAATATATACATAAAGTTTTATCAATATCCTAAGTCAGTATAAATAATGAAAAGTTTAAAAAAATGTAATAAATTATAAGACAAATAACAGTCTAGGTATTTTGTAGAAGTTATTGGGAATACTATTTATACCCCATAAAATATTGAATTAAGTTTTGTCACCTGCTATTTTTTTAATTATATAATTTTTTTACATCAAAAATAAAGATATCTTGTGAAGTGTCTGTAATAAATAAATAAATACTACTTGGAATGTATCCAAGTCAAAAAATTCTGAATACTAACATATTTATCTCTAAAAAAAATCAAGTATACATTTGAATGATTTATTTAAGACATAAACATAAAATGTTAAAAGAGAAGTCTCATTTATGTAACACATAAATTTACTTAAAAGTATTTGTATTATGAATTTTAATTTATAGTAATAGATTAATTCAAAGTTGATTTACCTGTTGGAGTAACTTTGTGTTGAATTTTTATATTTTCAGCTATTCCTTGATTATTTATTCCAAGGCCAGATCCTTTTGTCCAACCCATTTTTTCTAACATTTTTTGGCCAAATTTCGAATCGTCTATTAAAAAAGTATGCTATACATCTTATTTGGTATGACAAAATACCTGAATTATAATATAGTAAAATATTTTTGATAATGTTTACAAATAATACTTGACAAGAAAAATTTGCAACTTAAATAACAATTGATGGTTTATTATGATTTCATATTCATGACAATATCATACTTATATTTAAATTAACGAAGTATTAATGTGAAATTTTTAGTTCAATATACTTGAAAAAATATGTAATTACAGAACTTCTTAATTTTACCATTAGTCCAATGATTTGGAGCCGATAAATTAATACTGTGCATAGGATTTCTTCTTCTTCTTCTGGATTCAGCTAACATATTTCAATTTTTTGAAAAACAGTTGGAAATTAACTAAGATAATTGTTCAATTACAAAGGTATCATAAATTAATCAAATTTATTTGAAAAATCACGTGAGACTTTATTATTTTCAATTATAATCTAAAAACTATTATCTATTTATCAAATTTTTATTGATAATATTATTTTGTAACAATAATTTATATTTTATTCTCTTTGGAAAAAAATAACCTGGTTGCACTGTTTTAATATATATATATTTTTTGAGTCTGTTTTAAATTACAGTGTGTTCGTATTGACTAGTACAACATAATACTAATTTTCGTTCCCGGCCCTGTAGTTATCGTGTACTTTCTTTTACGTTTACCTGTGTATGTCAATTATTTCCTACGTTCCGTATTCGGAAAATTAATTCTTTATTAACTTTAAGACCCGGCATTAAATAATACTGTAAGTATATTAAACCTAATAGTTTTATCTTTCATTAATTTTACATAAATATATGATTTATAAAATTTATATAAAAATTTTTTTGATATTTCACATGGCTAACCTCAAATTTTGCTGAATATCCTAATATACAATATTGTGTTAATTAAAAACCTTATTCTTCAAAATTCAACTTTTTACATTATTCTGATTAATTAATGAGTATATAACTTTATACCTTTGATTAATTTTTTTTTATAATTCTATAATATTTAAGGTAATAAAGTAATTTAGGGCTTTAATGTCTGCCTCAGTAAAACCTCACTAAATATATTACTGTAGTGTCTTTTATCCTATAAATACACTTTTCTTTGTAAATATCAACTATTTAAAAAATAGAAATTTAATAATTATTTTAGATTAATCTTACATATTTGCTGATATAATTTTACTTGAGTTAAATATGAGATAAAATCTAAAATTTATATTAATGTAAACTTAAAATTAGATGACCAATTATTTTTATTATTGTCCATTGTATAATATACTATTTTTTTGAGAATTATACTGTTGTAAATGATAAATATTGAATAGATGTAATGTTACAAGTTAATCCTATTTTTTTTATACTATTTTATTTAGGCTTAAATGGCTGAAGAAGATTGGGGAGATGTTCAGATGAGCAATGTTGATTCCGCTCCTGTACAAGTAGCTGCTGATTTGCCCGAAGTAAAATTATTTGGTAGATGGAGCTGTGATGACGTTGAAGTTTCTGATATGTCTCTTCAAGTATGTTAAAAAAAAAAAAAATGTGTTTATATGTAAAACTACATATATTATATAATTTTATTTACTATGTGCAGAATGAGCTTACTTTTTTTAATTATTTAGACTTACATTTTTTTGTGTTGAGAGTCATGTTTCAAATAAAATAATGATAAATTTTATGCATTTCAATGACTGTTCTTAAAATTTCCATCAACTCATTTTTTGTGTTATATTATGAGTTTATTGAAGTATATTTATATAGTATGTGTTACAATAACTGTTTTTGAGTTTTATCAACAATTTTCTTCAAATTCTTAAATTATCTTTATTATAATTTATTTTAAAAGCTTACTATTTATTGATTTTTTGCTCATTATGAAATATGCACATTATATATACAAAGTTTTTCTTTTACAACACCTCATTTATTACCTTTAAAAATAAAATATAAATTAATAACTTTAACAAAGTTTTATAGTTGCGATAAGATGAAGTCTTCTAGGTGTTTATAGTTCTTTAAGGCCCATCATCATGGTAACATATTTTTTTCATCACTCTATATTTTGAACATTCTTCTGCGTTCATTACATTCAGAAGTTTTTAGTCTTCCTGTATTCTATTCTGTATATTCTTTCTTTGTCTAGGCCATCCTCTATATCTCTAATTGTTGAGATTCCTTTGAGTTATTCTGAGCCTTCTGATCTCCATATGTGGCCAGCCAATTTACCCTTATAATTTTTAGGGTCCCAATAATAGTAGGTTCCTTACAAAGATTATCCAATTCTTTTTTTCTTATTTCATACTATCCAACATTATTTTTTTATAGTTACTCATGAACCATAAATTGCATTTCATTCCATTTTATAACCACTAAATATTGAATAAAATTAATTCAATTTAGAGGATTTTTTTTATGATTATCATGGTGCATAAGAAACTATTAAACTTTTTTTAAAAAGAGTTTTTATTTTACATTACATTTTTGAAAATGGTTAAAGTATTGTTAAGAAATCAATCTATATAGAACTTGTATATATTTTAATAAGTAAATTTTTTTAGGATTATATTGCGGTTAAAGAAAAGTATGCTAAATATGTACCTCATTCGGCTGGTCGTTATGCTGCTAAACGGTTCCGTAAAGCTCAATGTCCAATTGTTGAACGTTTAACTAATTCATTGATGATGCATGGTCGTAATAATGGAAAGAAATTAATGGCTGTTCGTATTGTAAAGCACTCTTTTGAAATTATCTATTTATTAACTGGGGAAAATCCATTGCAAGTACTTGTTAAAGCAATTATTAATAGTGGACCCAGAGAAGACTCTACTCGAATTGGTAGAGCTGGTACTGTTAGACGTCAAGCTGTAGACGTTTCCCCACTTAGACGTGTTAATCAAGCTATTTGGTTACTATGCACGGGATCCCGCGAAGCTGCTTTCAGAAATATTAAAACTATTGCGGAATGCTTAGCTGATGAGCTGATAAATGCTGCTAAGGTATAATTCTTTGATAAAATATTCTATTTAATTTTTATCTTAATATTGGTTATTTATTTTAGGGTTCATCAAACTCATATGCTATTAAGAAAAAGGACGAACTGGAACGTGTTGCTAAGTCTAACCGTTAACTTCCATCTTATTATTTTATTTTAAATATACTTTTGTGTATTTCTACATTAATTTGTATTTATTTCTATTTGAATTGTGTATTTATTTTCAATTATTTATCATCGTAAGTAGATAGAGCTTAAAAAACTGGAGCTCTTGAACTATTTTCAATTTATTATTAGTTAACAGAATTTAAAATTCAAAAGGGTTAATGTAATTTCCTTTTTTGTATGTTTTGGAAGGAATATTCATTATAAATTCTGTGAATTGAACTTAAGGATATTGTAGCCTAAAGATACAAGAGAAGTAAATTATGGAGTAAAAACTAGTGCCTCATTTTTATAGTTTTTTGTAAAATTATATGTCTGGGGAACCAGAGAATGAATGTAATTATACAATACACATTTCTATTTTGTTCTAAATCGCCCTATTGAATTAGATTAGTGTCTTGTGATAAGTATTGCTATAGTGAGATATTAAAAACATGCCTGTTTCACCAAATTTTTTATGGGATTTAATAATATATTAGATTGGCTGCATTGTTCATAATTTCTTAAAACAATTTTCTTGTAGAGTTGTACTATTAATATTATAAGCTTAATACTATTCACCTATTTTGAAAAGATGCACTTGAAAATCATTGTATGAAGTTAATAACCAAAAGAGCGACATTTATCATTGAATATTCACAAAAATATCTATGACTTCAGTTATATACTGTTGTTTCTTCAGAGCCACAGTTTGGGTCTTTACTTATAATTATGCTATAGTTAATGCAGTTTATTCCATAGTATAAATGGAGGGCTCAGAAGCCAATCAGTGTGTCACTAAATATAGAAAATGAGATAATTGGGATTTTTTAAAACTTGTAATAAAATAGAGAGTCCCGTAAAGGTACTAATAACTTTTTTTATTGAGACATAACATACTGAAAAACTTAAATCTAACACAGTATAATAAAAATGAAAACGCAAGTTGAATTCCCAACTCAGTTTTCACAGAGAAATGACTTACACTGATTGGCTTCTGAGCCCTCCAAATATTAGTCTGTAAATATTCTACATACTAACAAATCTATAAGTTATGCACATTCATAATGTGAATGTTGAAAATAAATTAATCCATAAACAGAAATACAAAGAATATTTAGTAAAATGTATTCCAATGTAACAAATTTATTGAATTATATACTGATTATAATATATAATCAGTATTTATATAAATAAACAATTCGTTTTAAATACTTGTAACATTAAAATAAAAATAACCACATGATTAATCTCAACTTATAGTTAATATAACACCAACAAAATATACACATTTCAAATTTGTTTTAACAAAAATATAAATCTAAATTTTTTTCACTAAAAAAATACTTAGTAAAGATAAACTTTAAGTAGTAACAATTGGTAACATTTAAGTTGAATAAATTACAAATGAATATCACAAGTTTACACAGAACCTGAACTGTCTTCGATAGTAGTCTTTTGAGATCGATAATCATCGTTTGAGTCATTTAGTTTGGTTTGAGTTTGTTTTTCATGAAATTCCTAAAATTAAAAATTTTCCTTAGTAGTTGAAATAATTTAATAGCTCTGTAAAATTAGTGTTAACAGGTTATAAAAATGTATTTTTGTTAATTCTTTTAATGTAAATTGTAGGCCAGTAGACAAACTGCGGCAATTCCTTTTTCCTAAAATAATTATGAATTAATAATGCAGTGGCATAGTTATGATTTCTAAAAGAGAGGGGCGGGCATATTTAGAAAAATCTAGTCATTTTTCAAGTATCAAATTTAAATATTTAGGATAGTTACACAAAACCCTATTAAAGAAGTTTCACATTTTTATCAATAAAATTAAAGTAATAATTATTGCAAAATTTAACTGGATTACTGTTTTATTTTTATCATATGATAAAAAAATTAAAATATAATTATAATTACTTTACAACAATAATAAAATGAAAACTTTAAAATTACTTGAAAACAAGGAACTAAGCATAAGTTAATGTTACACTCTGGACAATGGTATTTTGTTTTTCTTCTTAAGAATCTCCCTCGAGTATCAATTGTATTCCAACAAAAACTACATCCAAGAGCTGGGCCAGTCCGTAATAATGGACAATGATCTGAACGGGTTGATCCATTATATGTATCAATTGTCTAATAAATTAAATAATCAACTTCACAAATTGTTCAACATTGCTTACAATTATATTATGTAAATTACTTGTGTTATAGATAAGGATAATTCATCACTCAAATATCCTCTTGATAAATTAGTAGGTTCAGATGGTTGTGAATTTTGTTTGACTATAGTTTGTTTAGGAACAGCTAACATATTTGTTGATGAAGGATTTGGTTCAGAACATTGCCTTTCTAGAACCCTAATAATAGGTTCAGGCTCTTCACTAGATTCTTTTTTAATTAATGGATTACTCTCTATTTTGATTTCATAATCATTGATCTTTAAATGAGGTTGACGTACAAGAGTTTTAACTCGTTTGGTAACTATAAAATGTAATTAATAATAAATAATTAATTATAACTATATTAAAATTTATTTGTCATTAAAATTATAGCACCACAAATAAATACACAACAATAAATGTCAATAGTTGTTTATTTTAAAATAATAAGTACCTTAAAAATACATTAAATTAAAATTTTATAAATGAAAATAAGTTAATTATACTACACAACTATACTCTTATTCAATTAACATTTTATGTATGATTTTCTGAAGGAAATATAGATGGTGCTGATGAGGAATAATAACAAGGGTTAATAACAGTTAGTGGTTGAGAGTACATTTGAGATATGTATGCAGGGTGGTCCACAGTTGACGTTTGAGAAGATGAAGGTTCATATAATGGTGCTTGGTAAACATTTTCAGAACTAGAAGATTGACCATTAAGTTGTATTGCAGGAGGTGGAGTTGTTTGAATAGAAGCAGAAGATTGTCCTTTGCGATGAATTGGATATCCTTTTTTTTTATACTCTAACCATAAAGTTCGATTATTGATTCCATACTCTTGAGCAGCTCGACAAAATCCCATACGACCCAAACGTACTGCTTCTAAAGCTTCTTTAAAACGATCACTATCTCGAATACCAGATTCACGTTTTTTTCGTACTTTGTTTTCTTGTTTATAAGGTGTTTTGACTTTAGGTATGGCAGCTTTAGGTATGGCATAGACACTGTGAGGTGGACAATCAGGGAGCTGCTCCAAAAATGACCAACCTGTTAGCAAATGGTTTAATTTTTCATCAAATTTTCTAATAACTTAATTTAACGACATGTAAAGAGAAACACTGAAAAAATGAAGAATTTAAGTTGAGAAAACTTATTTTTTTTTATTAAGCAAGAGAAATAACAGGTTGAACGTTTTTGAAACTAAATTTACAAGGGTCTACTATTTATTTGTACATTGCTAATTTTACTTCTTTATGTTTTAATAAAATTTCACAATGTAAATAGTCACATTCTAAATTAATAGCATTATAACAATTAATTAGTAACCTCAAAATTAAAAATATAACAACATGCTTCATGAATATCCTAAATGTAAAAAAAAAAATTGCTCACTAAAGAGTAGATTTGCCATTTGGGCTTAACAAATATATTATATCATAAATTACTATTAAATAGAGTATTTAAAATATACCAATAACAGCAAATTTATTACAACATACCTTCAGATGACTTTTGATTGACTGTGGCATTTTCTGTAGGAGATTGTTTAGAAATTCCACCACTAGAACTACAACTACTAATTGATTTTGACGATTCATGTCCATGAGCTACAGGTTGAGATCTCTGTAATTTCAAATTAAATAATACTCATACTTCATATTATCTAACTAATTAAAATAATAAAATGTATTATTAGTAATAATACATACAATTGCTAAATTGCTTTGTTCAGTCTTGGCTGGGGCATCATCAAGAGAGCTGTTATTTTCTGATCTATCACTTGATGTGTTTAAATGCATTTTTTTACGTTTTGACGATGGTGATAATAAACTATATTCAGTTTCTATAGATTGAGGGGTTCCGAGTAAATTTGATTTTTCTGCTAATCCTTTAATTTGTAAACTTTCTGCAGCCTAAAGATAATTATGAACAAATAAAATAAATCAATAGATATGACATAATGATAGTACATACTTTTAAAATTATTGGTAGCTGATCTTGTGAAATATTTACTTCTCCATAGTACATAAATTCAATAAGAATCTTTAAGTGGTTGTAAGACATATCTTTGATTATGATTATTGGATGTTTGCATGGTGTATCATTGAACAACATCTAAAATTTTAATATTAATATTTAAGGTTTAATATAAATTATACCTATCAAATAAGAAAAAAAATTTTCAATATGTTTTAATATAAACAAATTATAGTGATGCCACAGTAAAACATTTGTTTTTCTATAAGAAACAAAAACGATTGAAAAATTAAACATTTTTATTTTTTTTAAATTGATTAGCTTTTTTGATTCTTAAGTCTTTCTCAAAATGTTTTCATATTTTTATTCACTGTGAATTGATTGTTCACAATGAATAAAAATTATCTAAAAAAATGTTGAGAAGGTATGTTTGTTTTGTTGAAATTAAATCATATTAACAACCACCTAATAGACTCGATAGTCAGTTATTAGGTTTAGCTGCTAGGTAATCTTAAAGGGAATGTACTTGCCCAGATAGCAAGAGACCTGGTTTCGATTCCAAAATCTGCTGGCATATTTTTTCTTAAATTTGCGAGTTTCTAAAACTAGATTTTGGTAAATTTAAACTAGTAATAGAATCCCGACTACAAAAATAATAAAGTACAGTAAATTTATTTATACATTGATAAAAAAATTTGATTAATAGGTAAAAATTAAACTTATTAACGTTTAGATAAATGTTTGTGATTACTTCTAATTAATAAAAAAGTTTTGAGAAGTTATGTTGGGCAAGACTCATTAATTACACCAATGATGTTATTTAATAAATACTTGAAAATAGCTGCTGCATGCCGAAAGGACAACTTTATGAACTTGAATTTTACGACCTTCTGCAGCTATAGTTGCATCAACAAACATTTCATTGTTCAATAGACCAGTCATAACATTTACTAAATTTGGTTGATGATTGTTCCATCGTAAACAAAACCTTTGGTCAGCCATCTAAGAATAACATCAAAATTATTTACACTCATAAAAATTTCGAATTCGCTAAAATAATAAAGATACTTTAATTATACTCTATAATAATTTGTGAAATAATTACGGCTAACGTCTCAAAACGGGTAAATAAATATTATTTCGTAACTTGAAGATACAGACTTCAAATTTACCCTGAATTCTATACGCTAATGAATTACTTATTTATAAATAAACAATTTACATAATAACATTTTGATCATGATAATCATAGACTGCGGTTTTCTACTCATGACGTCAATCGATAATAATGTTACTTATAAAGTTGATTATTTAGTTTATGGCTACACTGTTAAAAAATGCGTCCCATTGTAATAGCTACGCCATCGGTCAAAGTGAACTGTAATAGCCATTATTGTTGTTTTTCTATTACGTTGTCGCCTTTCGGTAATATAAATTGTAGGAATTACTGAGTAAATTTATCTGTCTAATAGTTCCTAGGCTGTATTTGTTTAAATTGTATCATGTTATAATAAGTATTTAACTCTCTATTGTTTTTATAACATAAAATACAGTCCCTAGAACTATTACCATTTATGTTTCGCGAATTTCTATTTTGACACTTGTTTTATCTCCAATTTTTAACTAAAATTTTTTTTTTTAATTTACGAATTAATAACGGTCTAAACACAGTGGTAAGTATGATGTATATAAACTAACATATTTATATAACAGTATTTTACCAAAAAAATTGTTTAAAAAATCTTCTCTGTTACTTATTTCAATCATTTATCAACTATTGTTGAGATTTTATAAGCTTATTTTATGCATCAAAAATTTTAATTGACATATTTCTTAGATAATACTATTATATGTTTCAGTTTTCAATTTTTTTTTTTTACAATTATCTTATGACATGCTGTTTCGAGTGATAATTAACGTGTGATGTTTGTATCTCTTTTCCGCTACACGGTCAAATGCACTGTTCTTCTGCCACGCAACAGCAGTTTATGAGAAAGTGAACATTTAGAGTTAATAGTTGGTTACATCAACCTTGGCAATTTACATTGCCACTTGCTACTACTAAAGAAACAACAATCATTAAGAAACAACTTAAATAGTTAGATAAGAAAGAGAAAATAAAACTAAGGTAATTTACAACTATATCTTCATTTCTATGATAAAGTGTTGCATATATCAACATCAAAATACCCCTCATGGTTAATTTCCGAACAACTAATTCAGCTTACTTAGAATCAATCTAATATTCTGTCGAGATTGAGAAGTATTAAATTTCTTGAAATTGATGTTGAACAACTATAGCTTATTTTTTGCATCAAAATACTTAATTGCTAAATTTACATAGTAATTATATAAGATTACATTGAACGTTGTAGATGTTTTAGTTAAAATTTATTATTACTACAGAAAATTCAACTATTACTAAGTTATAACCATCAATGAAAATTATTTTTAACACACTAATAGATTAAAGAAATTATTGTTATATTTGATGAGTTGAGCTTTACCAAAAATTGAGTTCACCATAAAATACTGTATTAATATTAAATCCTAAAAGCTAGTAAGGTATTTTAGTGTTACATTAATTGATAGTAACTTTTATTCAATAAAAAAAAAAGTCTTTTACAAGTTTTAGTTGAAATTAATCTTTCACATAGTAAATAATATTGACACATTCATTTTTAATTTTTGTACTATGTTTTATATTATAATTATAACAATAATTCATACACCTCGGTTGAATACAGTATAGTATTGTAATTAAAGTGGAAGCCAAATATGTTAAGGTTGTAGATCAAGATTTTGTTTTATTTTATGATTTGAATCATGTAAAATATTTTTAAAATTCTGTAACTATAGAAACATGTATTTGTTGTAAATTTGAAGTATTAAGTAAATGTACTTAATACTTCCTCAAATAATAATATTAGCATTATTAATCTAAATACGAAACTAAGTTAGGCAATATTTTTAATGTCAAATTTATGTAACTTAGGGTAAATTATTATTTCTTTTTTTTTTTTTTTATGAAATTAGTTTGAATAATTCTCTGTAATGATAAAAATATCCCAGTATTTATATTGAATTTATGATACATAATGGAAAATTTATTAATAATTAAGGTGAACTATTAATCATAGTAGTCATCAAATTTTAAAAGGTATTTATTTATACCTGTTATCAACATTTTTTATTTTTGCATCAAACAGTATTCTGTCAGGTGTAAGAGTTTTAGATAATATAATGTAAAATAACAGAAATTGTTTACCAATAAGAGACTATCATGGTGATTTTTATTTTAAAATTTAGTAGATTTTTTTTCAAGTTGCCATTGTAAGATATTCTTATTAAGTATTTTTTTAACTAGATTGATAAACAATTTTGTGATGATTACCCTAAAGTTAAAAAAAAAAGTGTTAATAATATAAAAGTATCAATAGAGATAAATATAGAATGATGTCAATTTAAATTCAACTTCAAGAACAGTTAATTTCTTAATAATATTGTTTTTGAGTATCACATAGAGAGTTATTTATGTAACAATCATTTGTAGTGTTTGGGATAGTTAAGCCTCTAAAACTTCAGGAAAATTATATGTATATTTTCATCAAATATTTTTAGACAGGTGTAATTTAATGTAGTGGTTCAAAATTTGTTCAAACTCTGACTACGATAATAATTATTTAATCAAATAAAAATTGACAGTAAATCTAAAAAGGTTTTATTACATATAGTGTTATAAATTTAGAGCACAGATTTCTGACTTTTATTCAACTACTAATAATTAGCTTGATAATGTATTACAAAAAAAAATTCTCTAATGAAATAATTATATTTTAACTAATAATGAAATCATCAATTTTAAAAATAAATTGTCAAAAGACTGAAGTATGCCTAAATATTTAACAACCCTATCACACAAAGTAATATTTATAAGAATATATAGTTTAAATAAGAGTTGTCTACTTAAAATATTTGGATATAATATCAACTATCTGCAGAATGTAAACTATTTGTTAAATAGCTGCTTGTATATATAAACCAATAAGTTTATACCAATAATTAAAAAACTTTATAGAAGTATCAATTTGTTCTCTCTACAAATAGAAAGAATAATGTTTTGAGTAAGTATATTATATGCATGAACCAACCATAATTGTTTAAAGTATACAAATTTCAACAAATATAGATGGAATTAGGTGTATATTTTATTCTAGATGTTTATTATTGACTGAATAATTATGTTTATAATTTTTTTAAATTTATATATTAATAGTTCATATTAGTAAGCATCTTTATATAAACATTTTAAGTATATTTATTTCATACTCTAAACAAGTATAATGTGTATTTTATTTTTATCATCATGATGTCATTGATAAAAAAAATTTTTTGGGTTAAGAAAAACATTTTAGTTATTTAATAGTTTAAAATTGTTAATACTAAACATATCTTTGTTTGGACGTTGAAAGTGTATGTATATTTTATTTATTTTACTTGAGAGAGAATAATATTAACATACAGATTTGTGTGATGTGGTTGCTTTATCTTCAACTTCGAATTATAATTTAATATTTTGATAATTAATAATTCAAAATTTGTTTATATAATAAGAATTGTGAAACTTGTGGCTAATATTATGTAAAGTTATATATATATATATATTTATAACTAAAAATATTTAACTCAAAAAGCTAAAAAAAATTACTAAAAAGTCGAGTGTTAGTATTTCGGAAATAGCTAATGATGATAACATTGTTCTCGTAATATGTGTACTAGAGTTTTTAGTAATTTTGTGGCTATTTGAGTTATATAAAATAATATATATATATATATATATAAGTTATACGTATATTTTTAATTTTAAATAAAAAATATTATGAAGTTTATTAATACTTCAAAATATGAGTTGTTATTTAACTAATATAAAAATATGTATCAACTTACAAATAAAGAAAAAAGTTGTTTTTTATCATATATTTAGGAAGAAGATTAATTTATTTATTTTTTACACGAGAAATACTATCAAAAATACTCTATCAACATCAACAATGTGATAAAAAAACGTAATAAATATATGGATTCATTTTGTGGGAGATGTTTTACTCCACCCTTAAAATTTGTTTTAATAAATAATCCAATTTCATTTAGAGTTGGATAGTTATTTATTGTAAAAGTTATAAATATTAAAATTACAATCTTATTTAACACATAATTTCCAATCAATTATTAATATATATTGTCGAAAATACAATTCGGGCAGTAGCGTTGATTTTAATGAGCTCTTTAAACTATGCGAGTATAAAAAAACGGGAAGTCAACGCAGAAGCTATTTCTACTTGTATATACAAATATTTAAAGGAAATGGGATATTAATACCAGATTTTTCGTCCAGCCAATAATAATATATGAGGACTTCAACTCGTGGCATGCTAAAACATAATAAATCACCTATAATGTAATATTTTAGAATTTAATAATTCAAAATCTTCAATTATTCATAATTAAATATGAATTTGAAGTATTGGTGGTAAACTTACACTACTTATTAAAGAAAACTAATATTTTGATATATTCACCATGTATTATTGTTATGGCATACACTATAAGTATGTATTTTATTACAATTGTCGTCATGATATCAAATTAATTCCCAATAGATATATTGATATAAATTATATTTTTGCCGAGTTACTGTCAATTGTATACTTATAAACAATAGGATTATTATTATTTTTATAATGACATGATTTGTGAGTAAAGTAGTGGCAGTACCGTATTCAGAAATGATAACACAGGGGACATGTTCCTCATTGTCATAACTATGCTGGTATAAAATTTCAGAAAGACTTATTTTTGCTCTCGATTCATGTGATTTACGAGCAAAAATGTTAATCAAACCTTTTCGCTGTGGTTTGTCTAATATATTGTCCTTCTATGTTCTACTTATTATTTTTAAGTGAATTGAAACTACTATATTAATATATTAGAGTCGTCTAAGAAATCAAAAGAAATTATTAAAAAAGCCTACTATATATTCTACAAATACCAACTATTAATGATTTAAATGAGGGAATGGAGGGGCGTCACACCCTCATTGAAATCTTAACTGAACAGAAAGCTGAGTATGTCAAGAAAGTTAACATATTTAAGAGTTATTTGACTAAATTATTTAGGTAAAAGTACGTCGATTTAATCTTAGCTATCAAATTCAAAGTAAATAACTATAAGAAAAATAGTTATTAAAGCATTGAATAGTTTATGAAATGCCGAATTATAAAGAATAAAAAGGAATAAGAGATATTTTCATTTTATTGCAGAAACGGAAATTTCTTTTTTTATAATCACTAAATGAACTAACGTAAAAACGGCACATGAGAAAATAAATTTTTTTATTGTTCCCTATAAATTTGACACTAAACATTTTTCCTGGAATTAATATATGTAGTATTATTTAAATTTATCGAAGCTTAATCATTTATTGTGTAACTTACGGTCGACAAAAAAATTGATTTTCGACCTTTTTTTTCACATCACGTTTTTATGGGTTGATAAAATATTTTTTGGCTAGCTGTGTCACAATTGTGCACTTAAATCGTTGGCCTCCCATTCCTAAATATCCCTTGTGTTCTTCACATATTTAGACTTGATAGTGTACATGAATTTCACCATTGTAAAAATAATTTTGTTTCGTTGTGACGTTATTAATTAATATCATTTACGAATCGCAATCTCCACTAAAGGTAATTTTTGAGCAAACTATAATCATATGACTTGGGCAGTTAGTTTTTTTGTTATACTCATAATCAGTAGTATGAACATATATTATTAATAGTAATTTTTCATGGCTAATATTTAAATACTTATTAGTTATACATAAACTGTAATAATTAAATGCAAAAATTAATCAATTCATTGGATGATCAATATCTAGTTCATAGTAATACTACTATTTATTTATTATACGTTGTTGGCTTAAATGAAAATCCTCTTAGATTTTTATGGTATTTTAATAAAAAACAAACTTGTAATTTTGCTAGGTTGAACTTTATTAGAATAATAAACACAAGTAATTCCGATTTCTCAATAATGTTAAGAAATAATTTTCTACGACTTACAATGTGCTAATGAAATAAAATTCTCGAAATATTTTTAAATCTTCAAATATAAAATTTAAACAATATTTTATTAGTGTATTCCTGATGAATTTCTAATTTGCCGTAAGAAAACCATGAGACAAAAATATTTTGATCAAGTATTAACTTTAATTCATTTTTAATTCTATTTTCCTCGATATTTTAGTTTTACGGTTATCCGTTTATCATAACTCGCTCAATTACTCACAAAATAATTACAATACTGATGTTTTTTTTTATTTTTCAGTTATTACTATTTAGTATAATTTCTCATGACTTAAAGTGCTATCATCTTAATTTTTTTAAACGGTTACATACATATTACATAATAGAAAATGTAAGGTCAATAATAATTTTTAGATCAGTACTTCACAAATTATTAACTTTTTTTATAAGTGGAAGGTAAGAGAAGTGCAGTTGAAGAATATCTAATAATATAAATAGTCATATACGCGAACACCCACTATCTAAATTTTAAAATCGCCATAACTTTTAATGTACTGATCTTAAAGTTGTTATAATCCGTCTTTTCTTAATTAAATCATGTTCTATTTTATATGTTAACTAAATATGAATGTTGCTATTTAAAAAAAATAAGTTGACATCTCTATAAATTATAAGGGATGACGTAAAGTAATTGTTATTAAATATAAGTTACTAAAAAAATATTTCTTCTTAAATTTTGTATCTTTAGAATAATTAAGTAAGAATAATTTATTTTTAATTATATGAGTGTAAATTACACTCATATAATGTCGCAGACTATATTAAATGGTCTTCATTTTTTTATCTTAAAAAAAGAATTAGCATTACTGCAATTAAAATAATATTTTGTTTTAATAAATAAAAGAATAACTATGCTCATAGGAAGGGCTGTACCAATCATGTGATTAGCGTTTTATAGTTTTTGATGACTTTTTTTTTTATGTATTCAAGTTGAAATTGATAACAAAAAATAAAAAGATCATTTAAAATTATGAAACACTATTTAAATACCTAAAAAATAGCATTTTTCAAAAAAAATGTCTATTGATTAGTCACATAATTGTTTATTTTTTTACAAGATGATATAAAGATTTATTTTATACAAATAAGTTAACTTTTGTAAAATTAATTAAATTAAACTTAATGTTTTTTAACATAACCTTATTATTATAGATAGGGTAATACAGTTAACAGAGATTGAATCATAGTGGTGCTACAGTATAAATTTTAGGCTAACATGTATTTTTTTTTTGGAAACATTTTTGAATTGAATTTACGACAAAAGAATATATACCAATTTAAAAAATATATAAGGCGTAAACTTATGGGGACCCTAGGGATGTCCTTCTCTGACGCCTATGTCTAAGGTCATATTGTGAGCTAGCCAATAGTGATGACGTCATAACCACTATGATATGCTTTATTATACAGCTTCGTTAAAAAAACTAAGCAGTTTTTGTAAATATTGTAGAGATATAGTGTAAAAATTTTTTTCAATTTTTACAATTGAATAAAACTTTGATTATTTTCAAATGAACATCATGAAGTTAGATTATATGTTTATAACAACCTCTAAACACATCACTAAAATATAGTTATGAGGGCGTTTTATATTGGCTACAATCCCGTTTTTTTAAAATTATATAACTGTGTTGTTTATCTTTAAGTTATTATTGAACCTGGCAATGTGTTATACTATAAAAACTTTTCATTACTGGTTATTTCAATATTTTAAGTTGGTATTAATTAGGAGAAAATCTGAGTGTGATTTTTTCTGTACTTGCGTCGTATCTACAATATAAGGTTTTCTACGATTGAAGGCCTAGTTTCTTCACCAAATATTGGATGTATATGTAGTCATCGAGAATCTTTTAAAAGGCATACATAATTCGTACATAACAAAACATGATGCTCATGAAAGCTTATTTTTCATAATTTTCTTGCGTTTCTCAAATAACTTGTTCAATTGTAGTAAACAATTTAAATGTAATAGTATTATTTTGCTAGAAATGTTTTTAAAATTATTTTAGTTTTATTTATAGAATAGATAGATAAAAAATGTATGGGTTTCTAAAAAGTAGCATGACTGGTAGTCTAAGAGTTGAACAATTTTTTCACTTATCACACATAATAATTAAAAAAGAGATATGCTAAAACTGATTTGTAAAAAAAAAAAAACAAATTATATCGTCCGTATATAATTGTATGAAATTCCTCTAGCTTGATTGTAAGTATGTGGCAATGTAATAAACCTTTTGTTTATTACAAATCAAGTCTAACAAAAATTGAATATTAAAATTAAAACATTTTTAATTTTGTGGAATTATTTTTAAAAATTTATTTAGTCAAATATAAAGGGACTTAGACATCTCTGTTCTTCTTTGCCCTCGTGGACCATTATAGATGTTATTCAGTTATCGTATTAGGAGGCATAGAGGCATATTTTTGTTGGAATCTTATTTAATACTATTGCATCTAAGGAGACTGAGAAAGTTGAAATCTCTTTCCGAAGTAACAGACAAATATTGTTCTAATTTAATTTTTGCTATGATGCATAAATTAAAAAAAAAATTGTGCACCAATGATTTAAAACAAAATAAGACAATCGGGGGTAACCNAGAAAGTTGAAATCTCTTTCCGAAGTAACAGACAAATATTGTTCTAATTTAATTTTTGCTATGATGCATAAATTAAAAAAAAATTGTGCATCAATGATTTAAAACAAAATAAGACAATCGGGGGTAACTTAAATTGGATTTTTAACTAACAGAAAATAATTTGCCGGAGAGACTGAAAGAAACGAGATATAAGGAACTTGATATTTTTTACAAGCTTTAAATTTACCTTTAAGTTTTTTCTATAATACGACTTATAGTAATCAAAACATCTTTTCATGCATTTCTAGGGATTATATGTATATTTATACCTACAGTTAGTAGATTAGAATTAAAACGAATAAACTACTATTTCAATTTAAAAACAACTCAACGCTTGTAACGCAAATTTCCAAGGAAATTCAAAGACATCGCTTAATGATAACACGCAATAGACGAAAATTTCTGGTAAATACATAGGGTTTTTACTATTTTTAATTTAAATTACGTATCAATTAAAATATTAATTAATAGACCAACATGGATTAATTAAAAAAACACCCAAGTTGATTTGCAGGTTACAAAATTAACATTAATAAAATGATAATAATACTGAAAAATTTGAACACTTCCGTAATGTCCAATTTTCGTTATAAACAGAATAAGTCTCTAAAATATCATGGTTGTTAAAAAACAGTTAAAAATGTCTCATGAGACCAGTGTAAATTTTAAACATTTTGGTGTTTTAAACTCGTTTATAACGTAACGCTGGAATGTATAACAAATTCAATAATAATAATATATGATACTATAATCATTTTCTAAAAAAAAAAGTGTTTATTGTTGCACTACGTTAAAATCATTTTTTATTATTGAACTCAAAAAGAAGAAAATTATTTTTTCAATTTCTTTGTAAATTCAAAATAGTTGTTTTTTAGTCTTTCTTACAAAAAATTATTATGGATCAATAACAACTTTAAAAAAAGTAATTATTGAGTTACAAACGTTTTAATACATTGAGTGGGTAAATAGCGGGGGTGGGAACAGATCGTACTGATGTATATTCACTTCGCTCTACAATACAAACCGACTTCATGTATTAAAATGCTTTTAATACAATAATTACTTTTTCTAGAGTTATTATTGACCCCTATCAATTTTTTTTGTAAGATATGGCTATTTTGAAATTTTAATTTTTTCTTATTAGAGACACGTTAATAATATACTACCTTTAACCGTAGTCTAAAAATTCAAAAATTGTTAAAATAATTTTAGCCTAATGAATGGATCAAAAGTTTTTTTGTATTATTATATACTTAGTTGAAAGTAGTACTTGCTTGAGCGAGCAACATTGAATTAAAAATATAATACTTATTTGTATAAGAAAGATACATTTATACAATGGTTCATTTTGAATGTGGATTGTAGGTTTTTTATCACCTCTGATTCATTAAAGTATTCTTTAATTTGTTTATTATAAACAGGCGTACTGGAAGGTATTCGGTCTCATCGTTATGTTTACCGACCCAGGAAATGACTTGTCCATAAATTCAATATTTCGAGAAAAGTTTTATCATTCGGAAGTCCCAGGGTTATAACTCTCTAAATTTTATTTTACTTGTTATATGTAAGCTTCCCACTGGTAAATCAATTTAAATTATTTTAGCCCTACATTACATTTTACCACATATCATGGGAGGGGTATTATGGGATTCAAATTTTTCCCTAATTTTTTTTTCAAAAATATATATAAACTTAATATATTTTGGAACCTTTCCGAAAATATTCTGAATATGGTCCTGTCTTATAACCGTTTATAAATTTATTATAAATATATTTGCGTGACTTTGTTGTTCAATCCGAATAAAAACGTATTCTTTCAAATTAATCTAATAAGCAAAAATAAGTTATTAAATTGTTAAATATTAGTCATGATATCTCAGAACTTCCGGCTGCTTGATTTTCGGTCTTCAACACAAATTTGACCACTGTGCTCTAACGCAGCTTGTCAGCCATTCCTGCTTATAAATAGAAGAATTGCCAAATTTTTAAAGCTAGAAAAAAAACCGAAAGGGTTAAAATTTTTAATAAGAGAGGGTAATAGAATAAAATATGCCTCTTGTGAGATTATCGTATGCATAAATTTCGTAATTAAATAGATATTTCTCATTTCTTTGGAAATAACAGAATAATTCAATTGAAGACATGTTGAATAAAAAAATTAAAAATTTTAGAGTAAATGCAACAGATCTAATATTGATTTGTTTTTGGAAGTAATAAAAATACAATTATTCATTTCATTTCCATAAAATAATATAATTACAAGTGCATCAATATTTTTAAATGTAATGAAATTACTTTACTTAGAATACAAATATAAAGATGTACTTTTTAATTTGCTACATATCTGTGAATTGAAAGAAGGGTTAATGTAATTATTTTTCACTATCCTCATAAAAAAGATACACAAAAAACTTTTTATCATTAGACATAATACCGGTGAACAGGACATATCTCTCCGAGTTATTTGCTTAAATAAAAATGTTCAGAATTATTGTCATTTTTACGTTCATGTGGCAAATTAAGGATCTCATTTTGAATAATAATATTTTTGTGAAGAACGATTTATTTTATGTATTCTATAAAAACAATATTGGATCTATTATTTTTTTTTAGTAAAAACAAGTCAGTAAAAATAAATATACTATAGAAATAATTTGTATTCATGGCGGTTCCTAAGAGGGATTACAGGGGCTTGCACTCCGTTCTTGAACTGCCTAGTAAAAAATGGGGCTTAGAGTGAAAAAATGTTAGAAAAATTATTTTTTTAACAATTAAATAATTTTTGCGTTTTACTTAAAAAATGCTAGATTTGCACCTCAGATTCTTATGAAAGATTACTCTAGTATTTTATAAGGATCTGGATCAACCGTATAATTTCATTTTTATTCTTAATATCAGTTGATTATTGCTTCGATACAAATTAGGCGTTTGTTAAATTACCAAAAAATTTACCTACCTACCTACTCTACCAAATACATATTTCAAGGAGCTAAGAGATGTTAATTTTATTTGCAAGGTTTTTTTTTTACTAAAATTTTCAATATTTAGGTAAATTGTGTTGGCCGTAATATTTATTTCCAAAATAAAGTTTTCATCATTTTGCTTGCTTATTTACTTGTGGTTTTATAGAATATTTTTCAGTAAGAGAATTTCTTGATTATGTCCCCTTCGTCTGTTAAAAAATCCTGTCTATAAATACGTTATTTATTTATTTATTTAATTTAAGTACATTCTCAAAGGGAAAATCACTTTGAGTATACTTTTGTGTAAATACACGGAGAAAAAATATCGGCTAAAAATAATGTATAATTATAAACAAATTCTGACATAAGTATAAAGAAAATAAAAAATCGTATAAAATTATGACACTTTTATTCGATATTTATCTCAAGTCTGAAATTAACACATTTAGTAAGTTAAAGGATTAAAAACTTTTTAACTTGACTAGTTAATTTTTTTCATTTATTTAATTTTGAATATAAAGTGGATTCTTCATTGAGTAACTCTAATTTAACAAGTTGATTCTTTTTAACGTAATTATTCCATGGTTGTAGTACCAACGTAAAAAAATTATTATGAAATAAAATAAAACATTCTGTACATTTTGAACTATCTAAATAAAAAAAAAAATGAATACTGTAACCTGCGGAATCTTGGATTTAAGATAACAACAATATAAGTTCTAGAAAATAATAGTATAGAAATAATTTTAATGAAAAACAAATTAACAAAGTAGCTTTTAGGAAATTTTTCCAGCAAAACATGGTTTTAAAATATATGAGTTTTTATTATAAGAATGGTGTACTTATTTATCATATATAAAGATATGTATGTATACAATACATAAATATTGGTTTTAGGACTCGTGTGTTGATTGTGGACTACTTTAATAATATTTATAACATTCGGGTAGATATTGTTCATCGAAGTAAGATTATTGATATTATAGATATCCTTCAGTTTTATCTGTTGAATTTAAAATTATGTTAATTTATTATAATTCTGATTTCTATTAATGGACAAATATCAACACACAATCTATGATATTCAATATAAAAAAATCGATATTTTACAAAAAAAAAAATTTTAAACCATTAAAAATAATTCAACAAATAAAAACTATAGATCATTGGCATTTTGAATAAATTTTATGACAAAATTCACCAATAGCCATTGGTGAACAATGACATAATATTAGATAATAGGGTAATTATATAACATTAATAAAAAAGAACAGCTATATTGAAAATTTATGAATGATTTTATTAAGGACAATAACTTTGCGTAAGACTATAAAATAAAATCAACTATACACTGGCGGATATTCATAATATTTGCCAATTGGATGATAATTACATTAAATTGATTGTAAATACTCAATACGTCGATTAATCTTAGAGAATTGTTTTTGTCTCAGATTATTTATAGAAGTAATCAACTATTATCACTGAAATGAAGGGGTAATTGAACATGCTACATATANCAATACGTCGATTAATCTTAGAGAATTGTTTTTGTCTCAGATTATTTATAGAAGTAATCAACTATTATCACTGAAATGAAGGGATAATTGAACATGCTACATATATNGAAATGAAGGGGTAATTGAACATGCTACATATATTTTTTTTGTGATATTTAAAAATTAAACTATACAGCGATAATATCACCGTTTGTATATCGATTTCTTTAAATATTTATCTATATCTATTTTTTTACCCATCACTATTGATGTTCGTCCCTTTTTAGTACTGAAGACATTCTTTTGACAAAAGAATAGGTTTAATAGAGAACAAAAAAACATTGAAATGGCTTTATTGTTAAAATTGAATTATTAGTTTCTTAACAATAAAGATGAAAAATAATTACCAGAACAATATTATTAGAATATGTTTAATTTTTTATTGTTTTGTGATATGTCTAAATTTAAAAATCTATGCTTACAAAAAGTAAGCATACATTGGTACATCTACTTGGCCGACTCCAAGTAGTTGGGATAAGGCGAGGAAGAAGAAGATGCTTACATAAAGTCATTCAATTACAAAATTGTTTGGGCAGGTATTATGTAAAAGTCTAGTTTCACCTATCTATAGGGTTGTTAAAAAACGGATTTTTTTTAAAACTATGTAGGTAGTGGAATTTAAAAAAAACTATTTAAACATAATAATTGTATGAGATCTTTAGAAATTTTCAATGATTGATAATTTTGTATGATGATACTTCAAGGGAAGATAAAAAAAAAGCCTTACAAGAATCAAAAATGTTTTTATTTTTATGAAAATGTTGAGTTAATTATTTCCATTAACTTGCCTATTTTTGCAATAGTGGTAATACTTTTCAAACACTAAATAAAAAAATATATCGGCACATTCATACTACAGTGGGAATGGTAATGCGGTTCGTAAATACCCAGTGATAAAAATAAACAGACCTCTTATTCTTTTTACCATAGTATATAAGTTCTATTATCTTTTAAGATACTGGTTTAAAATTTGTTACCAACCAGTAATTTTCTTAGTTAGATCATTTTCTTTTTTTTTAACCAATTAAACATTTGATTCCATTATAAAAACTTATAGAATTTCATTTACTATGTAAAGAATATGCATACTATTGTTTTTATTAATTTAAAATTAAAATTTTCAAAGAGTGAAGTTCAAAATCAATTAATGATTAACTTTAATTCATTGATATCGTTGACTCATTTTTCTTATTAAATTTTAAGTTCATTAGAGTATATACGTGTATACCACTAGATTTTTTTTTTAATTTTAATATTTTGGACTACATTAAGAGCATTTTTTAAATTATTTTATCTCTAATAACAAAAAATTATACAATTTTTTTTTTCTCAAAATTCAATTTGTGCTACATAGTTAATCAAACACATTGTGCTTCCACAATGCCACAGTCTACTTTGATTGAACCCATTGAAACATTAAAGTTTAAAATAAAATTTTGTTATGCTAACCTTAACCCTTGTAGCAATGGACATCTATTGCAATTTTTTCTTTCCTGTCTCTGCAGAAACTATATTGAAGGCTATATATAGAAAAATAAAAATTTCCTAATGCTCATCTCTGAAAAAACTATATGTTAGCGGACGCATAAAAGTTTAGCTATAACAATGGAATTCTAGTTTTTCATTAAAGGAAATGGTAGCGAGAAGTATATCAAAATATTCACCCACCTTCGCTTAGACATTTGACATAATTATTTTTTTATTAAAAATCAATTTTGATGGGGGCTTTTAAGTGAGGAAAATCCGAAAACCCAATGGGATTTTTTTTAACAACCCCTATTTATATGAATATTAGATAAACAGTTTTTCATATGAATTTTCTGAAATTAGGTAGAAAGATAAAATAAAAATTATTTTACCTTTTAAATGGTCAGTAAAAATGTCTACTTGTTAATTTATTTTTAACGAGATAAAAAAATCACTAACTTGACCATCCTTGAATATTCTTTTGTATTTCTCTAGTATCTGGTCTTACATTAAAATATTGTCTTGATTTTAGTATTCAATTAATGGTTTATTAATTATGCATCATTTTTCAACACACTTATCTAATAATTAATTTCATATTAACGACAACTATCCCTAAATGTTCTAGTCAATAGTTTCCCTTATTATAAAATTCTAGAAAACCTTAATGTATTTATTTATTGTTAAAGTAACGCCTATATAGGCAATGAGTACAGTTAATATACATTATATAAAAACAATATTTAATTGTACAATAAGATAAACATATTACTAAGATCTTAAAACAGAATAAAAGAAATATAAATTAGCAAATTTAAAGTATCGTTTTCTTTAACATGGCTAAATTATGGCAATGGAAAACAAAGTCAGGTAAATAGTTACAAAACAGTAACATGCGATTTAGTGGCGAGTTATGACTATAATTCTGTTTTTGTGTAAGTTAATAAAAAAAGGAAGATTCTCGTAGATTAGTAGCAGGTACATAAAAATATATTTTATTTTAAATATCTGGGGAATCAGCTTTATTATTTTACAAATTATAAATTCACTTCACATATTCTACACTTGTAATTGATATAAATGGAACATTTTCAGAAGATAAAATTAATGTTCGTTTCTAATTTTTTTAAGAATTATAATGGATACATCAGATTAAAATTCGTAGATTTAGGATCAAAAGAAACATATTAACCAAAAAAATTATTTTTTTTAAACTGAATTTTTTTAGGGTTTTTTTTTTTTTTTGTAGATTTAACTGTTACAACAATAAAACTTATAGAGTTAGAAATTATAACTTATAAAGTTAACATGATTTAAAACACAAAATTTAACAAAAATCATTGGATAAAAAAGGTTAAAATTTTTTTTTGTCTGATACATTTCTTGAATCTTCAAAAATTGATATGAGCACTTGTTCACTATTTAAAACAAAAAATTCTATTAACAATATAGCTTAAGTATAATAACCTTTTTAGTGAATTATGTTTAGTATTACTATTTCAGTCATTTTGAAAGTTATTCGATCTATTCAATGGAGTGTTAAAACAATAGTGCAAATTTCTTCATGATTTTACTTCTCTCCAGAGTTGTATTAAATTTATATTAATTTCATTAATTAGTTATAATTATAAATGAGGAAATATTGTTATGAAAATTCAAATAGTTTACTTAAGTTCCATTGTTCATAGCATTTTTTAGTTATATAATTTATCTAGTTTTTAGTCAGCTATATAAAAGTTACATAGATTTATATGTATATATACAGAGTAATTCTTTTATCATAATCTAGCATTTAAAAATAATAGTGATAATTGAATTTTTGGATTATTTAGTTATACACCTTTCTCAATTTATCAATTATGAAATATTTTTTTTTAATTTCTTATACCATAATATAAGTGTGTGAATATTTTTTTTTCAAATGGCATTATACACAATCAACTAGCTTATTTATTAGATAATGATCAGTGTTTTTTAGATGATTTTCTCCGAGTAGAGAGACATTTGAAAAAATTAAGGGTTATTTATATTATATTATGAAAAGTAAATATTTCGATAATAATTACTTCACAGTTGATAAATTTATAATAGTATGTAACTAAAAGAAAATAAATATATGTATATATTTTTATTAAATTAGTGATTTATGATACTTTATATATGTATTGTAATTCATATTTTTTATCATTTTTCAGACATGAGTGTAATAATTCGATTGCAAAATTTACCTTGGGCCGCCAGTGCTGCAGATATAAGACAGTACTTCCAAGGATTGTCAATTCCAGAAGGTGGAGTTCATATCGTAGGCGGAGAACAAGGAGATGCATTTATTGCATTTAGGTAAAAAAAAACTACTCTGCTTTTAAGGTATTCTTTTATCTAAATAAATTAAATCTAAATGCATCTTGATATTTTTAGTACTGACGAAGATGCTAGAATGGCCATGTTATCCGACGGTGGATGTATCAAAGAAGTTAAAGTAAAATTATTGCTGAGTTCTCGGAATGAGATGCAAAAAGTTATTGAAACTGCCCGACAACAGGCTTTAAACTTACAAACTATTATGCAAATGCCAGCTCAACATCCTATGATGAATGTGGTCCCTCCACTAACTGCTAAAGTAATAATAGCTATAATAATAAAAGACTTTAGACTTAATTTAATAAATCCATTTCAATAGTATAAATATTTCATTTAAACATTTTATGTTAATATTTTATAAATTTAATAATTATACACAATATACTATACTATACTATAAATAATTTTGTTGTTGTTTTGAATAGGTTTTACCTCAACCACAACAACCCATTATGCCTCAACAAATCATTATGCACCAACAACAGATGCAAATGCAAATGCAGCCGAATCATGAAATGATACAACTGCAAAAATCAAATAGTCCAATTAAAGATCATGACAGAGAACATAGAAGTGATCGAACAAGGTCAAAATCTAGAGAACGCAGGTCTAAATCGAGTCGTATTGGAAGTAGGCGTGATAGGTCTAGGTCTAGAGATAGACGGAGAAGAGATCGAAGCCGAGGGAGAGATAGATCAAGAGAACGACATCGTGGAAGTAAAGACTCATTGAGTAGAGATGGGGGAAAATCTCAAAGATCTAAATCGCCTCCAAAAAAAGATGATCTTCAACAAAAACAGCAGCAGCCTGTTAAACCTTGGGCTACCCACTTTGATGGTGGAAATGCTTCAAATGTACCTATGCCCCTCATGGATAGCAATAGTAGACCTGCTATGGTCAATATGGGAGGCCGTGGTGTACCTGGTATTGATCCTAGAAATCAGTCAATTGCGCAAGGGCATAATAACATGTACGGACAATTTAGAACACCACAACCTCCAACAATACCGCCTATGTATCAAACAGGTCAAAATCAACAGGCGTTTACTGATGAATACGATAATGATAATCGACCTTACGACGATAATATCAATGGTAACTTCGATTCTAGATATCATAATGGTGATGAATCAATGGGTAGACCAAGGGCTGATTTTGGAAGAAGGTTCAACGATGTGGGTCCACACCAAAGACGTCATGGTTTTCAACAACAATCGGGTGATATTCAAAATAATCGAGGTCCTAGATTCGGTAAAGGAGGGCCATCAGGTATGCAGATGAACCGTCCGTACGGAGGAGATAATGCTGGTGGACCACCGGCTTCAAGATTTAATCATGATCGTCAATCAATGTTTGAAGACCATAGTCCCCAAAAATTTAACGATGATGGACCACCTCCACTTTCGTCTGACTATAATGAACAGGCTAAGAAACCACGATTCAACGACAGATATAGGTATGATGTGCGCAATTCAGCTCAACATGTAGCCAATCTCCAGCAACCTACTGAAGGACTTTGTGTTGAAGTGTATAATATGTCCAATCATATCTCTTACGGTGACGTACGCAAAATGTTTGACGGTATACAAATTGACGGTTCAGCTATTAAAATTCAAAAACACAAACAGGGTGTAGCATTTGTTAAGTTTAATGATAATCATAGCAAAAATATGGCAATGAAATACAATGGTACCTTATATAAAGGAAATCGGATAATTATTAAACATTTAGACGATGAAGCCTATGAAAAAGAAAACACAGACGATAGACCTTATCCTAAGGCAGATAACACTGGAATCAAATCGACGGCGGTTAATGGAGATGATCAACCGGACGTCTTGATCATAGATGGTGATGATAGAGACGACAGTGATGATCTAATAGTTTGTGAAAATGTCAATGACGATAGTAAAATTCAACAAACTTCGTCTACAAAGTATTTAAAACTTAACCAGGTGCCCATCACTGTTACCGAAGACGAAGTACGTACTGTGATAAATGTTGATACTTTGCGTACAGTAGAGTTCTTCCCAGACGATCAGTTCCTAGGCGTTATACTCGAATTCACAAGCGTAGAGGCAGCCGAAAGCACGTTAAAACAGCATGACTGTGTGTTATTAGGATTCTCGCCCATACCGTTGTTACCGTGTACAGATAAAGAAGCTCGGCGACTTATTAAACGTAGGCCTCCACCACCTTCGTCCCATAAACCAGTAGAAAAGAATAACTTTAACAATAGACACCCACCGTATAAATCGTTGCATTCTAACTGTTTATATTTGTCCGGTTTACCTACGACCGTTACCAATACTGATATCACTCAGTTTTTTTCTGACGTGTCGGTTTTACCCGACAAAATTCACATAATGCTGAATAAATTTGGTCGGCCCACTGGCGAGTCTTACTGCGAATTTGGTAATGCTCAACAAGCATATGCTGCTGCTGCTAAAGATCAATGCTTTATGGGTCCCTGTATTGTGTCTGTGGAGATGATTAGTCGCTCCGACATGATTCAAGCTATTACCAAACCTATGCAAGATATGTCTTGGGGTATGCGTGGAGGGCCCCGACAAAATATGATGCCACCTCAAGGAAATCATGCGCCTTATCATAATCCCAATAACGGCCTACCAAATTACATGAATAGGCCGCAGTACATGAACAATCGAGGTAATATGGGGCATCCATATACCCCACGTATGAGAACACCTGGACCTGGTCCTTCCCCGGGTCCAGACAGTTTTGGCCAACCTGGCTGTGTAGTGGCTCTAGACAATGTACCATACCGTGCTGATGTTCAAGAGATAGTTGAGTTCTTTGATGGATTTGACCTTAACAGTCAAAATGTTATAAGACGGTTCAATGATTTCGGAAAGCCTACAGGTGAAGCCAGAGTCAATCTTAGAAGTCCACAAGAAGCAATGAACGCAGTCAAAATGTTACAGAATAAATCTATACATAACCGACCAATACGACTGACTCACTTATGAATAAATGATAGTTATATTTTGTAAATTTATATCACTTGCACTTCACTTTTAAATATTTTTTTTGTATGATATAATTTAAAAATAATTATGTGTATAAATATCCTTATTTTATTTATTTTTATAAATAACCTATTGTTAAAGGGTATTTAATTAATAAGGAACAATGTGGAAGAAAATATATGTACACTTTCTTCCACTAAAACATTCTCTACAATAAATTAAAATTATTATTAATTGGCAATGGTGGTATAATTATCTATTCTAATCTTAGTAAAAATTTTAAAACTAAGTAATATTTTAAAATAGTGGCTCATTAAAATGCAATATAGTTTTAATGATTTAATCAATACTTTTCACATTAAAAAAATATATATAAATAAAAAAAGCTGCATCAGAATTTAACAATATACAATATTTAGTATATATGTACAAAATAATTATTACAAATAACAAAATGTATAATAAAAATGTTTTAAAACATCATGTCAATTATTACATACATTTTAACATATAACATCCTCAATGCCTAGTGATTTCTTAAGTAATTGAGCCATAGTTTTTTTATCGGCTTCTTCATCATCTAATAAATAAGATAGGAATCAAAATACATTCTTAAATGTTTTATTTTAAAATATTTGTACCTTTTCCACTTCCAGTAACTTGTTGCTCGAGATCTAACTTCTCTTGGGCTACTTTATACATAGATTGCTCAATTGAATCTTGACTTATAAGTTTAATGACTTTAACAGGCCTACAATAAATTGTGTTATATATTTATAAAAAAAACATATTGTTGAGCCTTTATCATTTACATATTAAGACTATAAAAAAAGATACTAAATTGACATATTTGTAGAATTTTTATGATAATAATACTAAGAGTTGTCATTATAGTGAAAAAACTAAATTGAGTTCAACAATTTTAAATTCAAATTCTACCAAGTGATTGATTTATTATATCTCATAACATATTGTCTAAGATGTAATTTTTCTATATAAAAATTTACAACATTTAATATGACATAAATTAAAAAAAAAAAAAAATGTATGTGTGTACTTAATCTTTAATCTGACACATCCTGATTTTTATTAATTATAATACTCACATTTAATCATCTTAAAATTCGAAAAAAAATAACTGGTCAGTAGCAACTTTTAAACAAAAATTTTAAGAGATACCAAAAATGTATATCTGAGTTTTATTTTAATGAATTATTAGTTATTTAAAAACAGATTGTTCTTATTTTTTCAAGTATACTTTAGACTTTTATTTTTTTCAAATAAGTAGTTCATTTATATCTTTTGAATTTTAATTGGTTATAACATTTACCTAGTTTGTCCAACTCTATGACACCGGTCTTCAGCTTGCTTATCATTATAAGGGTTATAATCAATATCATGAAATATTGCTGTATCTGCAGCTGTTAAATTTATACCTAAGCCACCAGCTTTTGTAGATAACAAGAACACAAATACACTATCATCCATGTTGTATAAGTCAATCATGAGTTGTCTGTAAACATTTTTTACTTAATATCTGAACACTTAGTAAAAAAGCCAACACTAGTATACCTTTCTTGAACTTGTGTTGAACCATCAAGTCTTAAATATGTATGTCCAAAGTGTGACATGTATATTTCGAGCAAGTCCAATATAGATAAAAATTGACTGAAAATTAATACCCTATGACCTCTATCCTTAAGATCGGGTAATAATTCATCAAGTTTCTTGAATTTTCCTGAGTTTAGGAATACTTCAATAGGAATGTCATACTTTAATTTATGTAGACTCTAAAAAATATATGAAATAAGTAATATTATATAAAAATACATAAAAATTATTTATCAAAATAATTTATTTATATTTTAAAAAGTAAAAATTTTATTGTTCAATAAACTAATAAATATATTTTAATAAATAAATTTACTTTATGATCAGCACATAATTTATGTAGATCAAAATCTGATAAAAATGATAAATCTTCAGCAATATATTGTTCATTTTTCTGTTTATATGTTGGATCAACAGCCAATAGTTTAGCCATTTTGTATAATTTATCATCCTAAAGCAAAGCATCATATATTAAAATATTGAATTTATTTATCGAATTATTAGTAAAATTATTATATTTACTTCAAAATGGTAACGTAATAACAGTGGATGATTAGCTAACTTTCTCAACATCATTACCCACATCATATGGTTGTTTTCAGACGTTTCTTTTTCTTTGCTAGCCTCTTTTATTTCATCAACTAATGTACTGTAGCGAGTTTTCTGGTGTTCAGTCATTTTGATTTCAGTTACTACAACTGTTTTCACAGGCAATGACTTAAGAACATCACATTTCAAACGTCTTAACATAAACGGTGCTATAATTTGTTTAGCCTGTTCAATACGATTCATTTCATACTCAGATCCAGTGTTTTTCTAAGAAATATAGTATAATTAATAAAATTTAGTTTATGATAAATTATTATATTACTAACTGTTCCTTTCGAAAATAAAAATTTTATATTATCCACTTTACCACGGAACATTTTGGGCATAAGAAATATTAGTAATGACATCAGCTCAAGTAAATTATTTTGAAGTGGTGTACCAGTTAATAATATTTTGTAATTTCCCTATAAATATAAATTAATGTTATGTTATTAATTTCATTAACATAATTTATTAGAAAAAAATATTTACATTAAAGTTGGAAAAGGTTTCAAATGTCAATGATGTCATATTCTTTAACTTGTGTGCCTCGTCATAAATTATATAATGGAATTCCTTTACCCTGAACATTTTTTTTTCTTCAAGAGAGTTAGCGGCACAGCTATATCTACAATAAAATAGTAAACTAATTAATAATAATAATAATTTTTAAAGAACTCTTAATACTCACGTTGTAAGAATAACATCTATATCACCAAAACCATATTTGTTCCACTCACTTCTTAAATATCTTCTTTCATCCATTGATCCATGATATTTTTCAACTTTTATTGAAGGACACCACCTCTCAAACTCTTTAAACCAATTGTCTGAAAAAAAAAATAACTATAAACACCTTGTAAATTAATTATGTTTATTGTGAATCAAATATTACCTAATGTTGAAGCTGGTACAACAACTAATTGAGGTACTCCAGGTTGAGTACGTTCAGTTTCTTTAAGTTGTGCTATAAAGGCTATTATTTGGACAGTTTTACCTAAGCCCATTTCATCAGCTAACATCATATTCAGTTTTTGAGAATTCATCAATAGAAGCCAATTCAAACCAATCATTTGATAACCAGCCAATTGTAAACTAAGAAAATATAATCATAAAAATACAATTTGATATGTAATCATTTTCAAAAAAAAAAAATTATCACTAGTGACTAATTATGTCTGATTATTACTCTTTATTTAATGAGGCAGGTTGTGTTTTGATTAACATATTACTAGTTGTTATTGTATGACCATTTTTTAAGGAAAGTTTTTCACATTTTTTCATAAGTTGTGTAACTATTTCTTGACAATTTACCATATGCATTACATTTTGTAAAGTTTGATCACCTAATACTTTAGAATTGTTTAATTTGGTTTTCTATTGAATAAAAGAATGTTATAAATAAAAACAATCTATAAAATGTAGAAAAAATATATTTTAGTCACTTAAATAGAATATAAAGTTATACATAAATTTTTATCATATACATAGGCACAATTTCAATAAAATATTTAGAAGTGCTTATTTTATCTTACTTTACTTCATTAAATTTTTTTAAATGTAATTTTATATGTAGTCTTCTTCTTTTCCCCCACCTTAATCCCAACTAATTAGGATCGGCCACCCTTATCCTAAACTTCCACTTGACACAATCTCCCACATCAGCTGTCCTCATATCACATTCAATAGCATCCCTCCATCTCTTTTTTGTTCTTCCTCTTCATCCTTCAACATTCATTTCTATAACTGTTCTTACAGCTTCCGATTCTTCTCTTCTCATAACATGACCAAACCATCCAAGTCTATTTTCTCTCGTCTTATCAACGATTGACGCTACACCTATACTCCTTCTTAAATGCTCGTTCCTTATCCTATATTCTCTAGTCACTCCACTCATCTATCTAAGCATTCTCATCTCTGCTACACTCATTTTCTACTCTACTTTCTTATCAAGATTACAGTCTTGTAGAATTTACCTTTCAGTCTCATTGGAATTTTTTTTAATAATATAAGACATCAGACTCTTCTGTTCACTTCAACCACTCGCACTTAATTTTATATGTAGTGTTTTTGAAATTTTGGATGGGCTAAGCCTTTTAAATTTGTGCCTATGATTATATAAAATTAAATTTCAAGAATTACAATAAATAATACTAAAAGAAATATTAATATAGAAAAGTTATATTATCTTACTGCATCAAACCAATTAACAAATGGTCTTAATTCTAATAGAGCTTCAAACTTTTTTGAAGTCATTCCTTTAACCAATTTCATTTCAGCTTCTGAAGAATTATTTAACAACTCTAATGCTTGCTGTCTCATTTCAGCACTGCTGTCTTTTACTAGATTTTTTTCACTGAAATCATAATTGTGACAATTAAAATTTGGAATTTTTTAACTTAATTAAGAATACTTGTGCACTAAGTCTTATAACATTAGTTAGTTAAAAAAAAAAAATTAAATTTTAATTAGATCACTTTAAATTATAAATTTTTCTGGTATATTAGTTTTAAAAATGGATAACTAGAGTTCTTTAGAAAATACTATCTTTACAATTTTTTTGAAGTTTTTACTTTCAAAAAAAAAAAACAATTCTTATTTTAAAAAAGTTGAGACAAATTAAGTGATTAACAAAAACAACAAAAAAAAAATTACAAAATACAGTCAAAACCATCAATGATATAGAGTGGGATGTGTTTTAGTGGTCAATTTGATTCTACATGCTGTTTATGCTTTTAAATATATCAAACAAATCTTAATCAAAATGAGTTAAAATTGAGATTCTCAAACATTTAGGATATCAGTTATAGCAGCACACCATTTCGATAAAATTTTAAATAAAGTAGAATGAGACCCTCACTATAGTAATCTGAGTAGAAACCATAATAAGAATTAATCACTTGTGGCTAATATTATTTAAAATTAAAAATATATCTAAAATATTTAATTTAAAACTAAAAAATATTTTATTCAAAATACTGTCAGTATGTGTTTCACTCTGATAATAGTGTAACATTGTTCTCAAAATATGTATACATGAATTTTTAGTAATTTTTGAATTAAATATTTTTTAATTTTAAATAAGTACATACTCATCATAATCATTATCACAATCTTCATCTGTGTCACTATCACCACATGTAGTTTTAATACGCTTCCTTTCTAAAATTTAAATGTCACAATAAAACAATTATATTAATTTAATAATATAAATTTACTAACTAATATTTCCTTGAGGTTTGATACGTTTTCTAGAAGGCATAATAACAGGAGTAGGAACATGTTTAACCAATTGTGGATTTAAACTTCTAACACCAGAAAGCGTAACATTAGACAAAGCATCACCTTCTTCAGATTTTTTTTCTTCTTTTTTATTAACAAAAGAATTAAAATTTTTTAAATTGACTATGTGCAAACTAACTCCATTATTAGGACCATCATTACTATCATCAGATATTGAATGAGCATTGGATATATCATCATGGTCTATCTAAACAATAATAATTTTAATAGACATTCATAAAAAATTATAAATGCAGTTCTTACTTCCTCAATTAAATGAGACACATCCCCATTAATTGATTTATGATCAGTTTCTTCATCTGATGATATTATAATAGTTTGTAATCTGCTATTTTTAACTTTTTTAACTATAAAAATATAATTAATATTAAGATTTCTTACATAAGTATAAAATTTAAATAAAATATTTTTTAATAAATAATTTAAAATGTTACTTGGACTTTCTTCAATATCATTAGACCTAGATGCAGCTTCCTCATAACTAAATCTTGGTTTCTGGGCATATCTAAATTTTCCAAGTAGGCTTGGACTAGTATCACTATCACAATTTGAAGAATTCATCTATAAAATTAAGAATTAAAAAATATATTTTCTAATAAAATAAATAAACTGCATAATAAAATGTTTTAAATAATACTATACTTTTAAAAGATAAATAAATTCCACGAGATATTTATCAAATAGACAACAAAAATTATTACTATAATCTAAAATAAGCTAAATATTCTTAAATTTCTAACTTATAATTAAAATTAATAGGATGTTACTAAATTATTTTTAAAATTACTGTTAAGAGTTAACCGAATCACAGGAAACGATATCGAAGTAACATTACGAGTCATAAGGATTACTTAAAAAAGAAAGTTGTGGATAATAGTTATTAACACGAGATTCTCGATTTGTGTTATCAATCTAATTCATGGAAGAAAAAGCACAACTGAAATGAAATTTGAGATTTTTAATATGTGACGAAGCGTAATAAGATGACAAGATTGAGTTTCTACAATTTTTTCTGACTTCTCGATGTAAAATCTGAAATTTGTATGAGAACTTTTCCCTTTACAATGAATTTTTTTATTTGTTTCCTTCGTTTTCTAAGGATCCTGAAATATGGGTCGTCCTTTTAATTATCATCTTCGACGTGTTGCCACCTAGCGGAGGTAAGATAACGAAAACTATTGTCAAAGTTCGTGACTATCATAAGTGAAATAAATAGCTCATGAATTTTAAGATATTATATAGTGCTTTCAAAATATTCGAGTGAGAATGTTGAAAAAATTACCTTATGATTTTAACAGTTTAGATGTTCAACAATTACATTGAAATTCGCTGTATATGAATTTCTTACCATAATTAAAATTAATGGCGCGCACGCAACTAGAATAGAATCTTCGGGAAAGTAAAATGTATTTCCTCTTGCTTAAAAATATTTTAGAAAGCAACATACGTACATAACTTGCTACATTTTTGTGGACGAGCTAATTTTTCGATTGCCCAAGAAGTTGGGTAAATGTTTTAATTACAGGAGAAGACAAAAATTAACGTTATTCATTTTTACATGACATATGATATAAAAACATGAAAATGTCGTTCGCCATAATTCAGTAAACATTTTTGTATATTTTCTGTGATTTACACAATAAAGTAATGTAAAAGAACCTTTTTGGCAGTTATGGTGCAGTTTTTTTTATGTGTAGTGTCTCAAACAAAATGTAAATTTAGTTAGACATTTTGTTAACTCATTAGCGTTAGTTATTCACATTTTTAGTCATAAACAAAAGTAGTGTTGTAACGGTTTTATTGTACATCGATATTGAACTAAAATATTTTACATTTACAATGACAATGATAAGTAAAAAAAGTGAAGTTTTTCTTAATAAATTGTCGGTGATTTTGGTTACCGATAAATCTTTTTTCGAAATTCAAACGATTGTGAACCAATGAAATTGAGATTGAAAATTGTTCGGTTGTTTCGAGTGCTGTCGACATGGGAACACCCCACAGGCACACATGTTCAGTAACTGTCTCGGGCCTTTGACGTTATTGAGCAGGAGGCGCGTAATAAATGACTCGAGTGCTACTCTCCAACCGAACCTCGTCGGGACTGTCTGCTATCCAATCGTCATCGGTGCACGGTGACAAATCGAACGGCACCTGTGTGGGACTGCAGCCTTTAAGAAAGTACGTGACGACCGTCTCCGGTAGAGACCATACGGTGACCTTATCGTGTACTGTCTTCGTCACTGTCTCCCGCAACTTCCATTTACGTTCGTCTTGCTTCGTCGACCCCGCGGCGACGTCTTCAAAGGCTCTGCGGTCATCTACTGCAACCGCAAAACCGTTTTCTGGGTAAGGCGTTGGTATTTGAGACCTGTTCTCGACAGAGAAAAATGCTCTTTAAATCACACGATAATAAAGAATTCGTTCAATTACACAAAAGAAATTTAAATACATCTAAGGCGAGAATCGGTCATGTACTTGTCGTTTTTTATTCGAGTCCATTACAATAGAACAAGTGTACTTGTCTTTGGCAATAATAGACTTAAAATTTTAGTTTTTTGAAGTTCTCTTAATTTTTTCCCCTAAAACAAATAAGTAACGTTCCCGAGATAAAAATTATACACTAAAACTCTAATACAGTCACACTCAGAATTGTTAATAAATATATATTTTAATATGGTTGCATTCGCAAGAGTTTTTTATCTTTCAACTCGGGGGATTCGGTGACTACAGAAATGAAAACTATATTTTCGCGACACATTCATAATAAAAAAACAAGTATATACATATATCGCATCAAAGCAACGGCGTAAAATACTGTTTTTGTGCGTGCAAATGTAAAATATCATGAAAAATATTACACTAATATGCCGAGTGTTAGATAAGACTAATTGAATGCCATTACTTAGTAAGGTAAAGGATTTCCATTGTTCTCGAAGACTGAACTTGTTTCCTTTGAATACTAAAACTATACATATTTATTGCGCGTGTCTGTTGAATCGTTTTGGCGGCAAAATATTATTGTGATTTTTGTATTGAACAAACGAAAATATTTTAAAAAGTAATGGACTGGTGTCGTATTGCATTGAATACATTGATACTGCGGTTTAAAAAAATGGAAACAATTACTCCTAAGAATATAAAGTTTTCTGTACAAACACAAATCAAGTAATTTTCTACGTGTGCGACTAACAAGTAAGTAATTATAGAAATTAAATGGGCTGCTTAGTGATATTTGTGGCGCAGTTTGTTTTAAATATAAACAACGCAATTCTATTGTTTGAGTACATTCATAAGCGTAAAATGTCTTGCGGAACTGGCTAGTGGACAGCTGTTCGGTGTCACTAGCACCACGTAATCTATACGTTAAGCCGTAAACTTAGAACGACTACGTGAATAATTGATGCCAACTACACAACGGCCGTCACTTGAGAAATTCAAAAGTCCTTATCACCTTTTGATTCCCTAGAACTGTTTTAATGAATCCATTAATTCACTCGTCCAAGTTATTGTGTATTTTTAAATTGAATTCAATTCACCGTTTTTTATATTTATCATCACATCACATTTTTGAGTACACGTGGTCATTAAGTTGTCTATACGAAACTCCTAGTTTTATCATTATGTGCTTAAAATTGCTTAAAAACATAACGTAATCGAACTAACGAAAACTAGACGTTTATCAAATTTATATAAAAAGATGGTTAAGTTGTTCGTATTAAGTGACTAAGAGAATCTGGAAACTTGATTTGCGATAAATTGAATATAAGTCATATTTATTATTATAAAAACATATTTTTTTAGAGAGTATACATAAATTTCATTTTGTGGGATTAAATTATTCATTTATCTGTTTTACGGTTTAATAAAAATATAAACTATATTTCTTATAGCTGAAAAAACGCGTTAACATTTTTGTTTTAAATTACACTATAATTGTAACTAATATGACATAAGTTGCGTATTTATTAAAAACAAAATTAATTAAAAATATTTCCCTACAAACATTAAATAAAATCTGTTTTAATAATAATCATTAAAACATAATTATTATTTCTATTAGTACACTGGTATAAAACAAATAAAATTGTCGCTTGATAAATTAAGTTTTTTTTTGTTAAAATTATTGCAATGTACTCAAATCAAATTAGAATTTAACTGACCATCGATAGTGTGATCCCGGGGGATCTTTGCACACTGGAACATCTTCTTCTATCATTGCACAAGAGCTTATTAACCCTGTTGTGGTAGTGAATGGTTTGGTAATTAGAATAGTTTTAGTTGGAAGTATTCCACGGCCGTAGACCATCACCGAAATAGATCCAATTGCTTTTAAAAATAGTAGAAGCCTAAAAAATGATTTATAAACGATTTTAATGGTAAAATAGTAAATACAATTACATATTATATTATGGCGTATCATAATTGTATTATAAAATTCTGGCTGTTAATCTAATTATTAAGTTTTCTATGATTTTAAACATCGATTGAAATGAAATCATTTTTACATCACATTTGCTTAGTATATTTTATTTTACATAATTTCTATAGATATGAATACGTATCGAGTGTATTCCTAAGGTATATATCAATTATAAGTTAAAAATAGTTTGATTTAGAAAGCTGTACAATTGTATGACGAGGGACTGTTTCTAAATTTGTTTTGAAATAAATACAATAGGCGTTCATTAATTTGCAATAACTTTTATTAAAACTACAATAACAATAACTCTATTGTTTTATGGCATGTCTCTTACTTTCAATATTTATATTTACTTTTGTGTTAACGATGTTCATATTTATATTGAGTTGATTAACGTTTACAATGTATACATACTGATTTGTTTTTAATATCCAAATCGAAAATTTAATAACTGTGTTAATAGAAGATTTTTTTATAATTATAGGAGTAAAGTAGAAAAAGACCAAGTATTTTATTATTACATCATACTATTTTATCGAATTTATGTTCATACGACAACTGATTGTCTAGCTTGTAAAAGACAAAGAATTATTAGATTTATAGACCAAGTTATAAATAAATTAAACATAAAATACACTCTATAAAAATATAGATATAATTCACATTCACAATATTTTTAAAGTGTTTTTCGTTTTTGTTTTCTTATTTTAAATTTATCAATGTTAAACAAATTATCATAACAAATTAAGTACAACACCACAAAGCGGCCCAGTCAAGGAGTACTAAAGGGGCTATAGTCCTCCCTTGGTCAATTATTATTATTATTAATACTCGTAATTGACCTGGCGTTAGTTAGTGAATGTGATTAGCCAAATAAAAAAGGCTCTTAGCCCCTCTCCAAGAAATAATTCTGGCAATGCCATTGAAACTTGAATTGTAAAAAAGTTAAGCCCGTTAAATTATACAAAAATATAACCCATTTAAATGTAAAACTAATTTAGCTTATTACATTAGCTTATATATTCAATACAAATTTTCCCATTTACGTGTTAATTAAAAATATTTTAAACATACTTAAAATGAAATACAACAATTTTTAGCTATGAGCTGTAAGTTTTATACAACTTAAAAGTTTAGTTAAAGTTCTAAAGTTTAGCAAGGAAAATAACTAGTATAAAGAAATTTTATCGAAATTAAATGTCGAGATATATTTGTCAAATAATAATAATGTTTTGGTAATAAAATTACTTACCTCATTTTTACAGCGAGACTTAAAATAAATCACAAGCACTTTACATGCAGAAACAAGACATGGTACTGTCACTAAATAATCACATTACAACAATTAAATAGGCACAATCAAAGACTTTCTTGTTAGCTGTTTGATCAATTCAATAACGCAGCCGATACAGTCTCATGTACAAAAGTGTATTTGCATTCAATTATTTTCGGCACTGAGGGAAATTATTTCCCATTAAATTTTACACTTAGGCTGTCGTTAAAATTGTGTTGTGCTTACCCGTCCAAAAGTCAATGCCGTACACTTAAGCTCATGTGCAACACACGTTTTTCAAAATGTCCATAATATACTAAAATATTTAATGACTGCAACCCAACCAGTTGTTTACTCAAACCTCATAAAGAGTAGATTTGATTGAAAAATATTAATTTGAAATTTTGGGATTTACTGGGTATTATTCTTGAATCCGAAATCCAATAATTCATTTCTGTTATGATTATTCATAATTGTTTATTTTTATCATTTGTTATGTTAACTATTTCTTTCATTAGTTCTAAGTTTGTTTAAGAAAATGTTCATTTTATTTTATTAACATTTTCTTATGTACTTTGTATTTATAGTATTGAGTACCACTTTATTAAGTAAAATTTATGCCGATAATTTTATAGAAATGGTGTTAATAATTGATTAAAATATCTATGACCTTTGTATAACTTCGATAACCATTTATATCAGGGCTTTCAAAGGGCATCCAAAAATCTATATGTCTAGTAAAAGCGTAATAAAATTAAACCCTAATCAAGACAAGCCGAATTAATAATTAATTTTATACTTCGATCACTAGGCGTGTCTGTCAAGTAAATGCTCTTCAATTGGTAGTACTTTGCGTGTATTTGTTTCTCCTACTTTCTCTTTGTACTATTAAAAAGCATTTTCTCTTTTTATTTCTCTTGCACATTCTATCCAGTCTGCTGCTATAGTTATTTGAGGGTAATTAGCCGACGTGTCATTGTATTATTCAATTCACTGGAACAATTGTTCACACAGCTCCATTATCCTTTTAATCATCCCTTTAGAGTTATTTTCTGTTGTCCTGCTAAGCCTGTCTGTTCTTTAATAGTTGTTTGTTTAACCGGAACCATAAATCGGAAATACAAATGTATTCCTGCCGATTGATGATATCTCTTGGTTCGGCGCACCTTATTAAAATTAGTTGCAATCATATTAATATTGAATGCTATCAAATAAATGGACACCAAGGATTAAGTATGTAGATAATACTGAATTAAGTTAAAAAAAAAAACCAAAATAATGGGGACGTGGCATAGTTGGGACAAGGATAGATAATATCTGTTAGTCACTAAAATCACTATCATAAAAAACTCTTCGATGCAAATCTGTAGATAGTATTTAATTATTAGAATGAATTATTGAACTACTTCACAAGCAATACATCTTGATTACAAGTTTTATCATATATAAGCACATTATTTTTATAAACAGATATATATGTATGTTGCCATTAAAAAAAATAATGTCGACATCCTAGTAATGAACAAGAATGTCACTAATGTATGGATTAAAAAAAACCTTAATAATTAATAAATTAAGAAATATAAAAAATAAAAAATACCCAAAAGAATTTTCTTAATATAATTATTATTTTAGCATAAATTGAGTGAATAATAGTGTCTATAAAATGAATCACAGAGCGGTTCGTTATTTGGATTTAACATAAGCCATTTTAGCTAGAATATATTTTTTTGAAATGGTAGTCCACTTTATTTTAATGTTGAAAGGATATATGAGGTACTTACCTCCTACTAACTTATATAATTATACTAATTGAATTAAAATATAAACATAAATAACTAAAAAATAAAATAAAATTTAAAAATTAACATAAACGAATAATGGTGAATTTTTACACTAAAATAACACTTTATATTAAACTTGAAAGGCCGTTTAAAAGACGAGTTGTTGGTACAATTTTTTTACTTATAGTTTGTAATATAAACTTTAATTTAACATATTTGAAGATAGGAGTACTTCCGAGACATTTTTAAAAGTTAAGTTTAAAAAGTTCTACTTTTTTACATGAGTTTCAACTTTTAAGCGTCTTCTATATTTGAGGATTTTGTATGATTTTTTAAAAAAAGTATGTCGGATCAAATTAGTATTTATAAAATATTTATAAAAAAAATGTATTTTTTTGTCAAAGACATATTACATATATTTTTTAGTATCAAATTTCAATTTTGAAATATTAAAAAATTCTCTTAAATATCAAAGAACACTTTTTGAATATCAAATAAAATTGTTAAATAATAATTTTTAAGTATAAAATTGTATTGAACTTTAGTTAATTTGTGTTTTACTTTTAAAAACAACACACTTCAACTTTTAGTCATTCAAGTTTTTTGCGTTTTTAAAAGGGTTTAATAGTATTAGAAAAAAATTCGATAACGTGATCTGTAGTCAGAGCAATATGAATTTTCAAATATTTAATTTATGACTAACTGTTATTTACTATGGATCATTTAAATTTTTTAGGGTGACTTTCATTTAAACACTTCATTTGTGATCTCTTGACGTATCGCTGAAAGAAATCGGTATGATGAGAGCTGAGAAAAAGTAGCGATAGATAAAAAAAAAATCATCATAGTAAAATTAACAGCTCAGCTTCGCATCGAAGCTAAAAAGAAGAATTAAACTCTTTCAATTTGGAATAGAGATGTGTTCCTCCTCTCTAGCTCTCCGAAATACTTTATGAGCACTTATTTATTACGAATATGTGATTATGTCAGGTTCAAAAGTGTACAAGCCACTTAGAGGGTCTAAATGACTTTTTAGTTATTACTTATTGAAAGCAATAGCTTATATGCACTATAAATAGCTTGGGAACTGTGAATTTTTCATTAGTAAGTTATAAAATTGTTTTACAAAGTAGGAAGTAATGTAATTATGTTTTATTAATTTTAAAAACTACAATTAATTAATTATACTTGCAATATTGTAATATTGCATTTGAAAATATGTACGGTAATTCTATTTTATTGATCATAAATTTAGTTTTAGTTGAATAATAATACACCCAAACCTAATTAAAATTAAGTAAACATATGAATCGTTTGACTTTTTAGTTGATTGTTAAAAATTATAAAATGAACAAATGCCAAGTTTTACTAAATTGCTATTTTTTAATAAAAACTAACTAAACAAGAACAACTTTTTACAAATAAATGAGTATCAATAATTATTTTTATAAGTACATTAGTTTAAATTGTTTTAATTGGTTAAAAATTATCTTTTTTTTTTAGTTCAATATTAGTTATCCATTTTATTTCATTTAATTAAACAAAAATGTTCAAAATTAAAATTCAATATTTAGTTTTTTTTATTTCCGTTGTTTTCAAATTAATAACATTACAATAAAAAAACTTTCATAATGTTTTAATTTCCGTTATTTTTATTCCAGTTGTCATAGATAAACATATGTTATAGAATTTAAAAATTTTATGTCAAGTTATTTTGGTATCTGAAGATTAAGTATGAAAACATTGATTATTTTTTTAAATATTTTTATAAAATTTAGAAACGTACATTTTAAAAGTATTGTAAGCTCTAATTTTTTCATCATATATATGTAATTAGACATAAAACATTAAATAGGTTACTCTCTTTGTACAATAAGATGTACTGAATCATAGATTTCAGCTTTTATTGATTTCAGTTAATTGAGAAACTCAAATGGGTAAAAAACTATAAAAAGTAGTAACAAATAATCAGTTATTATTATATAAATATGAGTTAGAAGTATATGAATAAGTTGATGAATTGAATAATAATTATTTTACCAGCCCACTTATTAATTTACAGCAATTAAAGAAAAATTAAAAAATGTTACATAGCCTTTATCAAGATTTAGACTCTAATGAAAAAAGCAACAAATTAATAAAAAAATGATAATAGAAACTAATTTACAATATATATATATATATTAGTGGTATAATATATATATATATATATATATTATACCACTTTTTGTCAGCTCACACCGAACTGATTTCTTTCAGCGACACGTCAAAAGATCACAAATCGTATCACAAGTCGAATACATTATCCTCAAAAACTGAAAAAATTTCCCTCGTTCCCCGTAAATAGGGGAAATCTCCAAAAAAAATAAAAATCGCTATTTCAAAAATGACAAAATTAATATAATTTTTTTTTTTATAGATACATGAGGTATTTACCTATCATTTGGTATGTTTTTTATAAATTTGATCCTTTACCTACCCACAGGAGGGATTCAAAACGACAACCTTTTCACATAAAAAAAAATTTTTTCATCTTAACTTTTAAAAGTTTACCGGAAACTTGAACACTTTTATATATATCTTAAACTAAATTTATATTTATATATTATTAATATAAATATATATTATTAATATAAATATAT